GATGTATGACATGAAACAGATTTTTAAGTTGTAGTAAAGTTAGATGAATAGTAATAATATTTATGGTACACATATTTTACGTAAGTCAAATGAATTTTAAAATTGTAAATTATTTAGATTTAAAGTCTTATGTTTACATGTGGGGATAATATTGACAACATTTTATGTTATAGTATGTGTAGGATTACCGGAACTTTACAGACGTACTCATTACATAAAAAAAAAATAGAAAAACGAAGCTTTGTAACAGATAGTGTTATCAGTTTATTTTCCCGAACTTATTTTGCCTACACATAACGCTATAATTAATGTTAATTAGGGTTATACATCTGTATCACAGTTAATATATTTATCTCATTTTATCTCATTAAAAAATTGGTAATGTCGATTTTAAAAAATAAATGAATAAATAATTACTGCAGATAGGGTGCAGATTATTTTTCATTTTTTTTTACTTTCTTGTATGTATACAATAGATAATTTGATTGTGTCGCGAAAATTTCAGTCAAATTGTTATGCTAATCATAACTTTACTGCCTTTCCACAATTTGAAAGAAAATGCTTACGAAAATAAACACAATAAATTGGTTCAAACATCGATTTCTTTTCGAGTATCGCTTGTAAGTTATTCTAAAAAAATAAAAGAATGTTGTTGAAACACAAATAAAATCGTGTTCGGAGTGGGACTCCTCAGTAAACATTTATTTAATATTTTTGGAGATGACCCCAATCAATTTTTGGTGGGGTCAAATATATTAATTTTAATGTGTATGATACTGCTTAATACTAATTATTATGGTGTTATTGTTTTGCCAGAATTTATAATTTTCTTTTGAAATGACGTCATCAGTTTTGTGGAGGGCGTGAATAAAACATTTAGTTAAACTTTTGTAATCACTAATTCAGGGTTATTGTCTTAATAAAATAATTAAAGACATCCGTCATGTCGTTCCTTGGAACGGTTGTAAAATTTCATTGTACGAAAAAATTAAGATAACTTATATACATGAAGTTAAAAATAGGACTAAGAAGTCTCGCTGCATATTTCAAGTTAGATTTACCAACAATATTTTAAGATTACGTCATTTTTGGAGGAGATGAACGCGCAAATATTTATAGACGTTTTAATTTCTTTACTTAATTTCAAAGTATATTTCAGAGCTTAGTAAAATCGCCAACAGGCAGACCGCACACGGACCACAAACTCGCGCAACTTAGCACCTGTATTTTCGACTTTACGACATATGAAGCAGCAAGAAACCGTGAAATGAGACAATTGTTCAACTCGTTCTATTAAAATATACTTTCATTGTGTTCGGCAATACACCGAAAATATTATTTTCTGGAATATGTATTAAAAACGCATTTTATTGTCCAATTATGTATTAAAGTAATGAAGAAAAAAAATTATATGTATATGTAAAAATAACAAAGACGTGTATCTTATAAACTTTATCGAATTTCTATCTGCACCAGAAAAACAAAATAAATTATTGCGCATCTCCATTTTTTATCATTCGTGTTGTTATTCGACTTCGTCCCAACAATCAATCTCCATATTTGTAATGAAAATAAATTATGCTGCACTGTCCGTACAAAAGAATTATTTACGCTATAATAACATTTATTTGATAGTTAGAATATACACAGTGGTACTAGAGGTATCTTTTAAATAGCAGGAGATATTAATTCAGATAGATTAGTAAAAATAGTAAAAAGTTTGTAGAAGGTACCAATTTCCAAAATTTTTTAAATATTTTGAATGACCATTATTCGTAAATTTATTAATTTTGTGACAAGCAAATGCAAAACCTATTTCAAATTTTTAAAAATGACGAACTTCAGATTTTTACAATAATAACTGTTGTATAATAAGTATTTCAAACTTCAAGTTTTTAAACTTTAATTTAGTGAAACTCGAAATTGTTGCCATTGGCGAAATCCCAATGTTGGGAAACATTACAGTAGACACATATCACTCTGTGCTATGTCAAATTTATTTTAGTATAACTCTGAAAAAAAAGGTCTATAGTTATTTAGACAGAACTTCTCTTGCTTTTGAAGTGGAGTCAAATAAATTATAAATACTAACATATTTTTTTTTTGGAAACTCTTATAAGCTTAAATAATGTGTTATGCCTATGCTACAAGTCCATTTTTTTAAATAAAATTTATAATATATCAATTGCGACAGGTAATTTGTAGTAACAACAGAACTGTATTCCCAGAATTTCGGAAAATAAAGTTAGCCCTTTTTGTTTTAATCAATAAAATAAATTGCTTCATTCCTAAATTTTTTGAGACATTCTGTATAAGCAATTTTTAAAAATATGAACATGTTGGTACGCCATAAGCGTCGATTTACAATATTTTACACATTTTTGATAGCATTTATTCATCAAAATTTGAGAAGACGTCATCAAACCTTTGAACGAAATAAATAGCTAAATTTTGATACGCATTTTACTGTTTCTAGCAAACTTTAAAATGTTTACAAGATCGCAGAGCATTCGGTTTCGTAGTTTTTAGGTTAAATTATACAATTTTGATTTTTTCCAAACATTTGGGTCTCTAAACCGATTAATAAACCACAAGTTTTTTTTACTTTGTAAAATTTTGAAATGACGTCATGAAATTGTCGGTGAGGAGACCAATTTTTGTTAGCTTTTTTTATGACAATAAATACAGGATATTCCTAAAACACACCTAAAATTTCACAACGCTCAATGCCATAGTTTTGGATATTGTCTGTCTATGCTAATGAAATCGCCAACAGACGACAGACTGGTGGAAACGGGAGACCTACTTTTTCATACTCCAGGGTCTAAAAATATGTAAAACTTATATTTGTCTCAATATCAAACCAAAACGTGTATTTTTAAAGTTTCCCGAATTTCTATCTGCACCAGAAAAAACAAAATAAATTATTTAATGTACTCTCTGTTGTTATTCGGCTTCGTGAAAACAAATAACCTCCAGATTTGCAATAAAAATAAATTATATTTTACTGTCTTTATATGCGCAAAACTATTATTTGCTTTTTAATAAAATTTATTGATAATACATATATTGTATTTTCCGTTATACATACTAGAAAATTGTAGTTACCAATTCACACAATTCTTGAAATAGTTTGAAGGATAAATACTCTAATTACTCTGAAATACATTAGGTAAAGTATTAATTTTGTTAACATCCAAATGCTCAATTAAATTAAACCCCAAATGTCTGTTTTTTTAGAACGATTCTGATATTATTGAAGACGACTCCAACTTTTTTTAATTATCATTAATTTAGTCTAACTTGAATTTCTTAGCATTTATGAAATCCACTATTGGAAATCAACATGGGTAGAGCACGATAACACGAGATTATATGCTCAAAAAAGTCCTCTAGTGGGCCATGGAATTTATTTTTGAAATAATGACGTTGGCATTGCAGCTATTCGAAGCTTTATTTGACAGTTATTTGACCGTAACTTTCAAACTAAACAAGGAACGCGTTGAAGTTGCCAACATCATCATTTTAAAAATAAATTTCATGGCCTATTAGAGGCCTTTTTTTCAATAATGTGGTAGTTCAACAGTTTATTACTATATTTTACTTTGCTGGTGCTACGTGAAATACATTTTTACAAAATCTAAAAAAAAATGGTAATTGTCAACTTTTTAACATTGTTTCAAAAAAGTGAAAATACAATGTGTTACAAAGTAAGGATTTGTGTGAACGAATAACGACAACACAATCGATGAAACAGTCGTCATGAACAAATGAAAATAATTATTTTTACTAAATTATTTTATTGATAAAGTGCAGTTGTAGAAAAAATTGTATGTGTAATTTCTTGACGAAATGTTAAAAAACATCATTTCATAAACAATTAGTTTAACGCTGCAGCACAATACAATTTTTCATGGGAAAATTTTAGAACTGACATCGAAATTAATATACAGGGTGAGTCATTAAGCGCGCGCTCCTCGATATATCTTAATTATTAGAAATAGAAAGATAAGGACCAAAGTTGTACGGTTCTTTGAGGACCAGACACTCAAATTATTTTCAACTATACAGAGTGGAATATCCATGTTTTTATCCATTCTTTTCTTATGGGCTTTATAACCATAGTTTATTTTTGAAATTCCGATGCGGCGTTGCAATATTATTCCAATTTTCTTGAATTTTTTTAATAGTGAAAAGGTTCACAAAAAATGCAACAGCGTTATTTTTAAAATCTGTGTCAACAATATTTTGTGGAGAACTGGAGAAATATAAAAAATATCTTATATACACGGTGTTTATATATGTATATATTTTAAATTATTACAATTTTTAAATATCGTATTTTCTATATTTAAAGTAGATAATTATTGTGAAGTTTTACTTGGTTAAGATACAAAACCGATATATTAAAAGAAAAAATACAAAAAAAAGAAAGATATAGTAATAAAAAACAAATTGTGTGCTATACCTAACAAATAAAACACTGCATTGTTGAAAATAATTTTAATATACCTATGACACTTAAAGAACCGTATAACTTATTTTTCTATTTCTACTAATTAATAAGTTATTGAGGATCATAAATCACCCTGTATATACAGAAAAAACAAACGTTTACGTTAAAATAGGGTATATTTTCTGTTGTCGCATGTCATACAAGCACAGCATTGTGCGTCATCGATTACGAAAGGAAATCATTCGGAATTTTTTTAATGATTACAGAATAATACATCAAAAACCGTATAAGTTCCTTTGTGCTTAATTCGCAGGAATTTAACACCCGCCTTAAACAATTGACTGTCTAGTCAGTGCCCCTCGTCATCCCACCCACTCCTTTGAATCATCCATCTCAAAAAAATGGTTCTACGTCACTATTGTTGCTTAGGTGTTTACAACCAAGTGTGTAGGTGCCATCCCGATTCCAAATAATTAATCGGACACTAGCAAACCGATGCATCTCGAACATTCATTTCTTCGCCAAGGTATACCGAGCGTTGCGCAAGTCCCCCACACACAATCTATTTAAAACCTAAAGCCCAGTTCAAGCCATCAGTCGAGCTTGAACCATCGTGCATGCACAGCGAGAGCGAGTGCTTTGAAACAACATAACGTGTTTAGTGCAGTGAAGTGTAGTAGCAGTTAAAAGCAACAAAATGTCCGAAGGAATCCGACGTGACATCCCCATCAAGTTGGGCGACTTCAGCGTAATCGACACCGAATTTAGCAGTATAAGGGAGAGGTTTGACGCGGAAATGCGAAAAATGGAGGAAGAGATGAGCAAATTTAGGTCCGAACTGATGAATAGAGAATCAAATAACTTCTTCAGAAGCACGACAAGGTAGATATTTGGCGGAGGTTGAGGGTGAGGTAGCTTGTAACAACCACTAATAGGAAAGAGGACAAGTGGAATCGATAGGGGTGAAAATCGTGGCCGCTGCATTCTTACACAATACATGACCAGAGCGACGCCCACTAACCCATTTCCTCTCAATGGGTCTTTGTGCGTACTCGTCCAACCCTGCACGAGACCGCTTGACTTAATGAATGGACAACGACCCGACCCTTTTTGGTAGAGCCGGATATCGCCAAAAAGGGATACCAGATACATTATACACGTTTCGTAATTGGCATATAGAAATTTATTTAGAGAGTAAACACTTTACAGGCAACAGCGTAATTTATTAAAGTAATGGATTTTGTAATTGTGCAAATATTTGTTTAGACTGACGCAGGTGCACTAAGGCAAACGTCCAATATTTAGGCCGGGAAAGTGACACCACCTAGGCTACCAACAGATGAGTGGTTAATTGGATGCTCGATTGGAGGCTGCGTTTTCCTGTTGGCGGTACATGAATTTGTTGCTAGTGCAGTATAATTAAGAATGAGTCACTCCGTTGACATATCCAAGGTTATGAGCCGTAAACAATCCACCTTGCAGAGGCAATCTACAATGAAAACAAGCCAAAACTTCCAGAATAGAATTTTGAGCAGGTTTTGCCAAACATGGATGGCGAATGCCGTCGCCAAAAGAGGCCAAAATGAGATGAAGGTCCCCAAATTCTCATAAAGGTGAAGGCAATGGTGGAAAGGCACAGTCATAAAACACACGATTCGATAGAAGCTGTTTTTGTAAATCTGGTACATCCAAAAACTAAATGACTGGTAGAAAATATGTCAAAAATTTTAAAATCTATAAGGCTTCAGGATGTTGGCTAGAACTTCGTTCAGATTTGTTGCAAAAACTATTCACATTTTTAAAACAATAATATTGATAAAATGATAAAAATCACGACACTGAATTACAATGATAAAATCGAATACTTGTTAACACAAACCAATTAACAGTATTTCGCAACATTGTTGTTTTTTTTATGAAACTGAGTCACCTTTTTAATATGAATCTGATATAATGAGAGCAACTCTTCAGACAGAAGTTTTTACGCGTTTTATTTTATTGGTTTGGTGTAACACGTACTTGGTTTTGTGTGAATAAAGTTAAGAAAAATTGCAAAAATACACGAATAATTATAATAAAAATTGCGGCACTTGTAACGAATAGTATCAGAGCTGCCTAATCAATAAGTAAACAAAAATTGCACAATTAACATGATAATCTCCGATTAATATTTCCAGTCAACATACTGCCTCACAAAAAAGTCCAACCCACACGCTAGAAGCGCTATTTTAAACTAGACGCCGGTTCTACAGACTTACTTTTCGTTGCCTCATTGTTTGTGAAATTTTCATTGCCATATTTTTTCACATCTGCCAGATGCAGGGATGTTTGTTCACCAATTATCATAAATTTTATTTCTTTTTTTTTCTAAACGTTTACGATTACAATCGGCGCTTGACAACTGTGTCCATTTAAAGACAGCATACGTAACATTTGGATGATGTCATCGGACAAAAATAGAAACCTGTTTTACACTGCACTACAATCATACAGGAATGTAGTTGTGCATAAGCATGCAGCGCCCACAAAATTATAATGCAATTTAAATATAATAAAGCGTGCAGCGACGGTCAAGAGCGACTCAGTGTTAGTCTACACAGATGGGCACGTTCGGAGCTATAAAAAATTCGCGTTGGCGAATTTATCAATGATTTTTTTTCGAAGTTAAAATTTCACACTTAATGATGGTCACGTTCGAGTCACTTTGTGGCTAAAGGAGCGATTAGATGGGAATCGACGGAAGTGTTAACACGTCCTCAGTGGTTTACATTGATTTTTTAAATTTGTAGTGTTGTAGCTTGAATATAACAATCTAACAATGCTTTTAATGTTTGCATGTCGTACGAATATGAGAGTGTTTCTGGAGGAAACAAATCTAAATCGTCAAGGTTTGTATCAACGGCGTCACCAAAACAAGTAGTTACATGATTAGTGGACCTGTAGTGATTTACACACTCCATAACCATTACGTTACGTAACGCATGACCTAAGATGTGTCCATATTTTAGCACAACTACTCAATCCTCACACAACTCCGGTTTAGACGTAGCTCAAAGACCCGGGGGTGACGTCAGAACATGGTACGATGATCTAAACTCGCCTTTAATCCAAGAAGATGGAAATAACAAATGCCTAAAATTACGATTCGATGTGAGTCAGTACGCCCCAGAGGAAATCGTTGTAAAGACTGTGGACAACAAATTATTGGTAAGTGGGCGGTGCGTTTTGTCAAATCGAGACTCATTGTCGGTTTCGTAGGTACACGCAAAACACGAAGAAAAAACAGAATCTAAGTCAGTGTATCGAGAGTACAATAGGGAATTCCTGCTGCCTAAGGGAACCAATCCTGAACAAATCAAGAGTTCTTTGAGCAAAGATGGCGTTTTGACGGTCGAGGCCCCATTGCCGGCGATCACTGCTGGAGAAACATTGATTCCAATCCAACACTAAGCACCAATTGTTTATTTAAATTCCCACCGCTTTTAGATCGTTACTTTGAAAATTTTGCAATATCTTTTTGGCAATATGTTAGACTTGTAATTTATTTATGGAATCTGTGCTAACTCAGACGATCGTCACCTGTCGACGCTTAATTAAGTTCTTTGTTTAGCTATGCAAGAAGTGTAGTATATAAACTTTTGTAAGTTATTTATAAACAATAAAGTATTTTTAAACAGAGACTTTTTGGGGTGATTGAATTGAAAATGCGCTCGGAAGCATCAAACAATTTTTTAATAACAAATCATGGATTTTAAGTGTTTTGGCGTGAATTGTTGGAAATGAGACTCAACAGAATTTGTACACTACAATCAGTGATACAATGCTAACACCTAAGCAGAGATTGGACCAAGGAATGTTCCACCTTTTCTTCGTAATCTTATCTGCAGGTTTGATCGTCGAGTCCCACTAAAAAGAAAAAAGCTTAAACGGTGTTGTCAAAAGCGAATCAACGATAATGAAGTTAGTTCATGCGGATTTCAGTGGTTGTCAGCGGAAAATACACTGTTGGACACAAAATTCAACGCTTAAAAGTCGTTGCTTCAAATAACTTGGCTCTACCTGACCTAGACCTCTCTTTTTTTTTAATTAAAAAAATGTTGGGTAACAGCGCATTGATATTTAGCCAACTATTAATTGGCACGTTGCTGACTTTTGATAAATTACAAACATTCGTTTCCTCGACTTTCTTTTTGTCTAGCAGTATATTTCGTAGATCAATAATTTAACTGGCACTCCGTTGCTAAGTTGTTTAAAGTAATTTATTTCTGTAACGTTACCTGTCAAGAGTGTCATATTTCGATAAGACACGAACTCGAAACTCTGCCGTTTATAATTCTTTGTATGTGAATGGAAAAAATGTTAAATTTTGTGTTTCTCAAGGACATCATTTTCTAAAAATTCAAATGTTCACGAACGTCAGATTTTAATAGCTACAACGGCAGCTAATAAAACATTTGTAAAATATTGTTTTAACTTGCCACAAAAGGAATTATTACTTAACATTACGATTGTTAATTGTCTGCTGTGACAGACACATAAAGGACGTTATCTTATTTTATGTAAATGCAAATAACTGGCTTTATAAAGTCTATAATTTGTTCCTTTGTGATGCCAGCAACACATTTAGTCAATATTTGTTCATTTAGCGAAGGTACTAAATCTCTTTTGTCTACGCCATTTCACCTCAACGAAATTGAATTTGCTATAATCGCCAGCTCATGGGAAATTGGATCCTATTAAGTGTAACTTTTTATACCTCTTATTAGAACCAGAGTTTTTCATCGTAATTACATGGTGATACAAGTGGATGCGGTTTAACTGGATCATTGACGCTAGGATGTGACCAGTTTTTTTTTAATTAGTGCCATTGAAATATTTATTTAGATAATTAATGTTTAAAGAAGCATAAAAGGATCATAGAGAATTAAGTTTTTAATCGTATAAAAATATTATCTTTTTTGTCTAAATATTACATTGTAAATAAATGACAAATTCTAAATAATACTAGCAATTTACTATATTTTCGTTCCATTTGAAGCGTTTTTAAATTCGTAAATTATTTTCTATGATCTTTACATACATATATTATAATTTAAGATCAAAAAAATAAGTCACTTTTAATTTATTATGAGTTTCTTCAAATTTTTATGGCACTTTGTATTTCCACAAATTTAGTATATTTGTACTCTAAATTGCTTTCTGCACGTATACATGTCATAATTTGATGGCTACAGTGATACATACCTGCTCGGTCTTTTTAACTAGTTGTTGAGAAATTATATTTAATCGATTAATTTGTTGACGGGTTTTAGCAATCAAGATATTCATTTCCTTGGACTCAGGTAGGCTTAATTTCTGCGTACTATTTGCTATAACAAATTTGAGTCCGGCCTCCATTGCGTGAAGTTGTTTGATACACGTAAGTACACTTGCGGCAACATCAATATTTCTGTAAATAAAATTCGGTTGTTAAAATATTAGAAACATATCCAGAGTACTTTAGAGCAATGTCTTTACTAGTTTAAATTTAAATGTGCTGTGTCTACGCTGTAGTTAAGGCACCTTTAGGCAAAAACTTATGATATATTAAAAAAATATATACGTGGTTGAACCTTTGGGTGTGGAATTTTAATTAATTTAATTCCTTCCTGTTACCATAAGATATGTTGATATATGAGAACGTGATTAAAATAAATCGGGCACCGAAAGTTATGCTTGCTTGTCAAAAAGACAAACAACATTTGTATGATATAAATGTACCACAGAAATGACAAAACGCTTCCGGTTTGCAATCTAAAAATATTTGCCGTAGAAATATGATAGTTAACGAGAAGTTTTTATTCTGACACGCAGTTGAAGTATAGATAAATATACTTCGTTTATTTTCATGCAATGACATTTCACTGTATCACATGAACTTACCTGACTTGACCTAATGGATTAACTTAAATTTTTGGGATCCTTAACCAGGTTAATTTTTACGAAATTTCAATCAAATTTGTTGATAATGCAATAAATTATGTGTATATCTTTGTTAAAAATGTTATTAAAATTCCACCCCAGAAAAATAATAACATTTTATAGCGTGGACGCAAAACTCGTGAATTAAATTGTAAAGTATCATTTAGCTTAATAATTTTTGTTCCAGAAATTGTTTAACCGCGCTTTATAGTTCAACCTTTTTTTTTTTAATACATACGTATACATTTGATCCCTCTTAATAAAAGGAATTGACTGTGGTTTAAATGGGTGTTTATGAAACTTGTATAAACCCCCTACTATTCGCTGCCTTTGGTATGGAAATTGCACCCCTAGTTCTTGCAGCTTGGTATCAGTAAGTGCCAGAAATTCGCCCAGCGTAATTTTCTGGTCCCATAAAATTGGCATCACGTGTTCACTTTTAGTCCCACGCAGTATCTTACAAATATCACTGAAGAACTGTGGCCTAAAACAAATAATTGCATAAATCTGTTTTTCTTTAATGTTAAACATGTTAACATACTTTTCATTTTTCCCCAAAACATCAAAAGTTTCTTCAAAATTCAGTTCATTGTTGTTTAGGCGTGAATAAAACTCGTCAAATGGATCTTTAGGGAATAAGTCTACAATGTCTTGGAAGCCGTTGGAGTGGGCCAAATCTGCCGCGGTGTTCCCTCTGATATCTACTTTTGCAAATGTGAAGCCTTGGCTTAAAAGAAATTGCACGATTTTTAGGTGATTGCCGTCCACAGCCCAGAAAAGGACCTTCAAAATAATTATTTGCAAAAATGATCATTCACATGCTTTCTATATTACATCCCATCGTTGATTGTCTTCCGCGTTTTTATCTACTAGAGGTAACAATAGTTTAACAGTCTCTAAATGGCCATTATTTGCAGCACACATTATGGCCGTCCGTCTTTTACTATCAACGATATTTACATCTACACCCCTTTCTAATAATAATTTAACACATGTTAGTATACTTTGTTCTACAGTTTCATCATTTGAATTAATTGCACACAATAACATTAGTGGAGTAGTGCCATCTGCAAACTCTGCATTAAAACAAATAAATTGGACGAAATTTAGTGAACCTTTTCTTTGATGAACATTGGCACCCCGTTCAAGAAGACCAGAAATTATTCTTTCGTCTCCTGTTGTGCACGCTAGAAGGAAAGGCGTCCATCCAAATTCTAGATCTACATCGACGTCTACACCTGAAATGTTTATTAGTGGTTATGCAACCCAAAATATTCCAACATTTTGAATTTTTTATATTAAATTTGTTTGTTTATACAAAGCGTTTAAAATTTACTGAGAGCTGGCGTTCAACAATGCTGAGTTTACCTGTATCAAGTTCTGTGAATACAGTTTCTGGCCTTCCAAATGAAATGGCCGAAAAAATAGTTTTTAATTGCCTCTGCTTTTCTTCAGCTTCTGTATCTATGTTTTCGGCTGCCTGTCTTTGTACAGCTTTTAGTTTTTCCTAAAATGATAATTGCTACAAAAGGCAGTAATGATAAAATAAAAAACTACCTTAAATTCGTAGTATTCGTTGTCGTCTGACAACCCATCTTCATCGTCACTACTCATATCTGGTCCGTACAACATTTTTCTGTTTCTAATTGAACAATATTAAATTATTAAACAACGTTTCGGTAGAAAACGTTAACGATTTTGAGGTTATATTTTTTGTTTTATTCACTTGGTTTAGGCCACCTCCAAACACGCCATGTTTTACTGGTTGCCTAAGCAGTGTTTGAGGGTAAGTTTATTCTATACATGATAAAATGCTAAATAAAATTTTTCTGTAGTTCAACATTGTATTAGTTATTACTTCAGTATATTTATTCCACAAAAATGAGTTGTTCAAAAATAATTCAATTTAATCGCCAACACTGCGGTGTAATTTATTTAAAAAATTCGTATAAATAAAACTTGCACTAAAATAAAAATATAAAACAAAACATTTTTATTACACCAGTCAAGCAAGACACAGTCAGCTTTTTGTTACACTGTTTTGAGTTTTTAGGGCTTGAAGTTCAGCTTGTAATTCTAGAATTTCTGTTCTTCTCATCTGAGCAAGTTTCTTTGTTAAATTGTATTTTCCACTAAATAGATCACACTGAAAACGAAATTGTGAAGAAAGTTATTTACAAAACTATAAACTTACCTGAACTCCAACTGAAGTTTTCTCAACCGCGTTCTCCTTGTTTGGGCTAGAATCTTGCATGTCGGTATTCCGGTTATTTTTAAGAACGAGAATTTCGGATTTTAAAGCGGCAATTTCGTCTTTTCGTTGAATGCAAATCTGTTTCATCATGTTGTACTTTATTTGTAAATGAGATTCTTCTTGTAATATGTTACACTAGAAACAAGTAGTGAAAATACTGCTAATCATCATGTAAACTCATACCTGAACTTCTGCAGATCTTTCACTTTCTTTGGTTTGTATGTTACACTAGAAAAAAGTAGTGAAAATACTGTTAATCATCATGTAAACTCGTACCTGAACTTCTGGAGATATTTTATTTTCTTTGGTTTTTTGATATTGCTGTAGTTCACGTTTCAGAGTTTCAATTTCTCTTTGCTGCGTTTTAGCATTTTCTCGGTAAAACTTTAACCACCTTGTATATTCCATTTCTACTTTTTTGTCCTGTTCTTCAAACATTTGCACTTGTAAAGCCACTACTTGCTGTACCCTCTCAAAATTTTCCTTTTCTAATATTTTATTTTTGTCTTTTAACGAACTAAGCACTGAAAAATTTGGTAAATAACGAAAATAATTAATGTAATTCTAGAGTCTCACTTTTTTCCTGCGTCGCCGGTAGTTCCCTCAATTTTGCCACTTCTGCTTGCAATAATGTACATTGGAAACAGTCTAAAAAATTAAGCGAATTAAATTTTAAACAAACATTTTAGAAAACGTACTTTTCATACTGATACCTTTTTGACTGTCTTTAAGCGCGATAATTTCTTGCAAATATGACTCATTTGTGGAATTCAACTCATCAATTTGTTTTTGAAGGAAAGTTTTTTCTAAATTAATGTATTGTTGAAAGCTAGACCTCGATTTTAATAAATTATCACTTATTCCATGTAAATCATATTCCTTTTGGTTTCGTAATAATTGAAATTGATTCTTTAATACTGCATTAGCCAACTTTACATCTCTAATAACATTTTTAAAATCGTCTCTTCGATCTTGCGATTGACGATATAACAGCAACGTTTTTTGTTCACTAATGACCTGCTCAATAATGCGGCACAACACATCCTCGAGCTCTTTTTTCGTACGACGTAAATCTAAGACGGAAAGTTCTCCTTTCTCTTCACAGTTTTTATTATAGCTTTTATCACAACCGTTTGCTGTCATTTGTAAGTGCTTAAGTTGTATTGTTAGATCCTGATTGACCTTTGTGGATTCGTGTAACTTACTGTTAGTCACATTAAGTTGACACCGGTAGTCACTAATCTGACATTTCAACTTCTCTTTATCTGACAGCACTACTTTTAGGTCATTAATTTCAGTATGTGCAATTTCAAGCAATTGCTTATATTTTTGAACTCTCTGTTCGCTTTGATTTAATTTTTGTTCAGTTGAAGAGATGACATGTCGGTGCTCTTGAACTGTTTTTTTCAGATTTTCAATTTCGTTGGTTAGTTGTTCTTTCATCACCAAAATTTCGTTGACTTTTTCAGTTGCGAGCTCCGCCTCTAACTGAAGATGCCTACACTTTTCTTGCGCCTCAAGGAAAATTTTGTCATTTTTCTTGAGGCTTTCAATCTCGGTTTTCAGATGTTGATTCTGTGTATCAGCTGCCTTCAACTTCTCTCGTACGTTTTGCATTTCTGAAGAAATTCTTTTATTGTTGTTGCGAATTTCACGTATAACTTTATCCTTTTCACTGTTAGTTTGCATCAACTTTTTTACTTCTTGTGTTAGTGACGTGTGCTCGTTCTCTAATTTTACTAGCGTGAAATTTTTGCTTTCTATTTCTGTAGTGATTGTATTGACACTGTTTTGCAGATTTTTTATTTTTTCACAATCGAATTCCCGGTCGCTGGTTACTTTTCGTATTTCTTCTTTTAAGTTTTCATTCTCTGACACTGTATTTTCGAACTTACGCTTGAAGTCTTCTAAATCAAGCACCAACTTGCTGTTCTTGGTTTCAATTTCACGTATAACTTTGTCCTTTTCTTCTAGTTTAACAGTCAAAATTTCATTGCGGTGGTTCTTAATTTTCAGGTCATCTGAAGAGTTGTCACTTTTCATTCTTTGAATTTCTTGTTTCAAATATTGATTGTTGTCAGAAATCGCACACATTTCTTTTTCTAGCTTTTCCTTTTCGTGTTTAAGCTTTGTAAGGTTATTTTCCACGTCTGCTATTACTTTATTCTTCTCCAACACGCTCAGAGTAAAATTATGAAGTTCTCGATTTTGTGAATCCACAACAAGTTTAATTCTGTCTATTTCTTTTACAAAATTTTCTTTTTCTTTGCCATGACTGGTAATTTGTTGTTCTAACTGCAGTTTTGCGTTTTCAATTAACATAGAATTTTTGGTAAGCTCGTCTATGGTGTTCTGACTACCCAGAAATTCCTCTTTTAACTTATTTAGTTCATCTGCTAAGTTTGCGTTTTCAGACAATGCGTTGTTCAATTCTAGCTTCAGTTCTTCATTTTCACGTATAAGTGAAGTGTTGTCACTGTCTTCAGCATTCTTTCTTAACTGATTTAGTTCGTCTGTTAAGTTTGCGTTTTCAGAAAATGCGTTGTTCAATTTTTGCTTCAGTTCTTCCGTTTGCTGCGTTAGTGAAGTGCAATTTTCTTCAATTTCTAATATTTTGTTATTTTTTTCACTCAACTTCGCATTTAACATATCCGTATCGTCCGTCATTGTCTTAATTAACATTCTCAACTTATCCATTTCTTTTGAAATGTACTCTTTTTCTTCTTCAAGTATTGCATAATTTTTGTTAACTTGTTCAATAGTGTTGTTGCTCTCTAGGACATCCTTCTTTAGCTTATTTAGTTCGTCTGTTAAATTTGGGTTTTCAGAACATGTGTTGTTCCATTTTTGCTTCAGTTCTTCATTTTCCTGTGTAAGTGAAGTGCAGTTTTTTTCAATTTCTAATATTTTGTTATTTTTTTCAATCAACGTCGCATTTAACGCGTCCGCGTCGTATGTCATTGTTTTAATTAGTATTCTCAGTTGATCCATCTCTAAATTACCCTTGTCCACTTCGTTTTCTTTAGCAGTGTTGGCGATTTGATGTTGCAACTTTAGTTTTTCACCTTCAAGTGTTGTACAGTTTTTGCTGATCTTGTCTATAATGTCGTTACTCTCCAGAACATCCTTCCTTAATTTAGTTAACTCATCTGTTAAGCTTGTGTTTTCAGAATTATATTTTTGTTTCAACTCTTCATTTTCCTGTGCCAGTAAAATGTAGTTTGTTTCAACTTCTAACAATTTGGTGTTTTTTTCATTCAACTGGTCACTTAACATGTTCGCGTCGTTCTTCGTCGTTTCCATTAACATTTTTAAATGATCCAGTTGTTGTAGCAAGCTTTCATTCTCTTTAATTTTATCTTCGAATTCTTCTTTCAACAAAGCATAATTACTGTGTGTCTCTGATAAATCAGCCAGTTCAGATTTTTCACTCTCTAGATTAGTGCGCTTGTTGTTTTGTTCCAAATTTTTTATTTTTTCTGCATACTGTCTAATAGTTTCATTTTTTCGCAAAAACGACTCATAGATTTTGATTAACACTTTAACATCTTCCACGGTGTCTTTTTTCAAGTTAATTACATCTGCCGGCAAGTCGCTTTCAAACAATGATAGCTGGTTTAGGAGGTCGTTAAAACTTTTTAGTTCACTGGGGAACTTAATTAGATCTGGCGAATTATTATCAAAGTTGTTGATCTGTTTTAGAATTTCCGTTTCAATTATGTCTTTGGAAGTTTTCGCTTTGATGTTGAATTTTTTTATTACTTGCAAAACCGAATTTTCTTGTGGTGGATACTCTGAGGCGTCGAAAATTCGTGGATTGTTTAATATTTCTTGCAAACGAATTAATTCATCCATGATGTCTGTAAGTGGAGGGTCGTCTACATCTTCATTTTTACCTAGTTGGTCCTCTAGGCATTTTATTTTGGTCTGCAGTTCTAGTTCTTTGATTTCAAAATCTTGTAGCTTCTTCTGTGCTTCTGCAAGCTGTTGTTCTAATGCATCTGCCTAAAAGAAACTAATTATATGAAAATAATAATGGTATTAAAAAATCGAACCTTCTTTGCTGTCTCATTGAATATGTTGTTTTCATTTCTTGTAAATGAAGCCAATTCATGATATTCTTCCTCAAGCGAAGAAAGTCGCATTCTTAAACAATTTTCTGGAGTAGAAAATTTTCTTGGAATCGCGAATTTACTAGGAGTAGAAAAGCTACTGTAAAAAAAGTGTTAGAATTTAAGCTAAATAAAACGTTTTCAAGTTTTACGTTGATGGTAATGGATCTTCTTCTCTGATGGTACTGAGCTTACAAACAGTGGATGGAGGGTCCCTGGAATATAATAAAACAATCATATTACTTAATACAACAAAATTTCGTTTTATAGTATAGGGCCAGATTCTTTTGTATATATACCTTTTAAGTAAGTCTTCAAAAAGAGTGATTTCTGCAGAATCATTACAGCCTAAAAGAAAACGTTAAAGTGCACACAGTTAGAGATTATTCAAAAATAAGTACTTTTTTCCAAATCGTCAAGTGGAAGCCTGGAAATGATTTTTTTTTGTGCAGAAAAACCTATAGTATGTCTCCGTTTAGGAACAGTCTTGACCTCAGTAGTATGTGCTCCTTGAAAATCTTCCAACATTTTTACCTGTTGTTGCAAATTTGATATCTTCTTAAAATACTCTTCTTCAGTTTTCTGACAAAAAACGAAAAAATTATAAAACTAACACAATGAACACAAAAAGCAGCCAATAATAGCGAACAAAACTAAAAACTGATTTTGCAGAAGAGATCAATGAACTTACCTGAAAATTCTGATTTATGATCATCTGCTCCTTCAACTTTTTCTGCAGCTCTGCAGTTAGAACAGCATTTCGCTTAGTAACATCTGTTTCTGTTAGAATTTCGTTCACTCGTGGTTTATTTTTTACAGTTTTAGCGCGTTGTGCAAATCTACAATAAAACGAATAAATACAAAGTGAAACGTTTAGTATTTAGTTGCTTACGCCAAAGTTGAGTTTGTGTCTTCAACAGATGCTAGGGTAATAGTGGCAATGATTAATGTCTTAGAATTTCCACCAAGAGAGTCTTGTAACAACCTCGTCAATTTGGAATCTCGAAAATTCACGAACTCTTGTCCGTCGCTTAGCTGCTTTATCACAAGACTTAATGCTGATAATGATCTATGGGGGAATTCACGAGTTATACACGGTGATTTAGTATTAAAAATGTTTCCGATTTTTGAATTAAACGCGCACAAAGAAATAAAATTTCTGGGGAATTAAATTACTGACGCCAATATTATTACACATTGTAGTTAGTTTATGATTTTTTTTAAACAATTTTAATTTCAATTGTTTTATGATTATCCTATTGTTTTATCACGCTGTAAATATCGTATTGAATTAATGACAACAAGTTCTTGACATTTAACACTAAAAAGAACTTTGTACTTTATGTTGTAATGTGTGTCACAGTGTTCTCAGTAATTCTTTTTAATGAAATGGTGAAACTATATTCTACTTGTTGGAACATAATTTAAATGAATATTTAAGATTTTAAATTACAATGTGAAATTAAATTTAATCTAGATAACCAAAGTCAACAAATCGAGCGCTCACTTGTTTATGTGACCCCCTTCTTTGAGCCGCATTCCCGTTGCTTTGGTTTGAGCGACACGTTCTGATCCAGCTAGATCCACCAAGTTTAAATTAGAAATTTGTATGCAGCCACCAGAGTCACCAGTTTCTGTTGATTCAATCACCTAAAAAATAAAAGAGTTAAATACTGGCCCCTTAAATACCATGTGCTCACAATTTTAAAAATAGTATGTGATCTACTACTTCTGTCATTTGCTTTAGTTGCACTTATATGTCTATTTAAGTTTCCTGTTTTCAGACACTCATACATCTGTTCTTTATTCGTAACAAGTTCTTCTTTTATGTTTTGGAGTCCAATGGTACAGGGGAAAAATTCTCGAATTTTTACATCCTTGTTATTCAGGTCTAAGAGGTCATTAATTTTTTCATTGTATATTTCCATGTACGACACCCTTAGTAAATATTTTCGTTGTTTGTTGTTTTCTACCATTTTAAATATGTTCTCTATTGCTAGGGTCATAATACCCATGTTGGTCTTGTCTCCGAGCATTGTATATGTTTTGCCAGAGGATGTCTGGCCATAGGCAAAGATTGTGGAATTTAAACCAGATAAAGATGACACCACAAAGTCTTTTACTATATCATTGTAAATATCCAAATTGGTTTTATCAGTACCAAAAATATGGTCTAAAAACATAAAATACTAGGGGTTTTGTGTTATTTACAACAATTTAGTGGTTTACATACCGAAACTATATACTTCGCCAAGCTGGTGTCGAAGACCATTATCATCAATCTGATATATTAAATTGTTTTGGGAGCCCCACTGTGCACGTAATTTTTTCACTTCTTCTGTATTAATGAGAGGTCTCATTCGGATAGCTACTTGGATATTTGTGGATCCTTTAGCTTCCATGATGAATAAATACTGAAAATAATATTATTCATAAACGCTCGATATGTGACAAAAAAAGTTGTATTGCCACTTACAAATCTACAATAATCTTAACAGCACTATATTATTTATTAATTAAAAATGATTTTAAAACTTTTGAACGAAGTTCAACTGTCACTAGCGTCACACATTTAAAACTTGTTCGCGCATGCGTGCGGGATATTTTTGTTTCTTTTTTTGAGAGCCACTGAAGGAGTAAAAGTGGGGGCCGTAAGCTGCAATTTGATTGGTTCGGGGTTTAAAAAGAAAGGAGAACCACACGTGTCATCGAAAAGTCCCTAGATTTGAAGCAAAGCAATTATGCTAGCAGTACTCAAAAGTTAAGTCATAATCACGTGGTTATCAAAGAAAAAAAATGAAGTTACTCTAAAAAAGAAAAACACAAGCTATCATTTATCAAATTTTATTAAAAAAATTACATAATCTATTTCATAATGTAATAAAATTAGTTTTCATGGTACAAATTTCAATTTCCTATGTAAACCATATAGCAAATTAATTTAAAGTAAAATGGTACACATAACCTAAATTAAACATTATATCACATGCAGTACACAATGTATAAAATTTGTCTGAACGTAATAAATACAACTATCATGTCATATCCAAATTTTTTAACATTATATTAAATAAAAACTATGTCTAAATAGTGAATTCAAATAGAGCTGCCATTTTTCATGTAATCAGCTCCCTATATTAGGCACGTTTTATTTCCTACCTTAAAATAAAAATTAAACTATCCATTTACAAAGTAATTCAAATTACACGATTGTAATAGTCGATTGTAAGTTGTCTTCACCAACAGATAAAATCCAGGACGCTACCTCAACACAACAGTCCGAGATCGCACAAAATAAACACAAAAATAAAAATCCCGAATCTTATGTGTTAGTCGCTCAACAACTCCAACATGTCACGAATTTCAAACTATTCGATTTCTCGGTTGAAATTATCGATAATCAACCAATGTTATAAAAAATATTTTTTCTGTATGTACAAAATTCTTAAGTCGTAAAACAACATTTGATATGCAAACGCTATGATAAAATTAGTCGAACAACCTTCCTCAATTCCTATTCAGAATGACGAAAAGTCCAAACGAAAATAATAATCGATCTGTACAAGATTACACGAGTTTTACACTAGTTAAGCCATATAAGTCATCGTTAAGCTACACGGGAATTCATAGGTACATCAGTAATACTAAGTTATCCAGGAAAACGAGTCTTGACAAGACCCGGCTTGGCTTTCTGTCAAACCGAAGTCTGTTGCACACCGCCCATGTAATTCAAGGGCTTGTGTTCGGCTTCGCATTCGGAGTCTTCTATTTCGCACAGGTTCGTAGAGAGGTCGCTGTTGCTACCGTAGCCGCCTAGAAGGGAGTTGCGCTCTTCTACAACAAAAACACACGATAGTTACTAGAATCTGTGATAAGTTATATTCAATTAATTACCTAGAGTTGTAATCACAGAACCAATATCATCATCACAGTTTTTCCTTCGATTGCGGTTGCTAGGAAATCCATACGGTTCGACTTCGTCAGATTCAGCACCGGGACTTTGTAAACACTCGGCTTCTGATTCGCTAGGAATATTGTACCCATGGCTAGGAAGGTATGAGTTGGGATGACGTATATAGCTATCCGCTAAAAGCATAATTCAAGTTACTATGTGTGTACTCAGACTTGTGCTAAGTTGCTAATAAAAACAATCTGGTTAGTGGACAGGCGGCAATCATCAGTATAAACAAACATCCTGTATATAGTAGTGGTGTGTTTATTAAAATAATATAAAACCGTCTTTTGGTTTATTTGTGGAGATTAGCGAAAAAATATCAACACGATTACTATTTTTTACAATCAGCCAAACAGAATAAAGTCGTACCAGTACCATTATTCTCTGATATACACACGTGTTCCATGTCTACGCAGCGGTCAAATTTTAGATTAATTCAAAATGACTGTCTGCTCGAAAGCATAATGGTGAATTAAAAAAAATCTTTTTCCTATAATATCAGTTAATATTTCTTAAATGAGCAGTAACTTTTGTTTAGTTTGTGCTGTATAATTTATTTTTTGTACACATTGTAACTGGTTTGGATTGTCTAACTGCGATTGGTTGGATGGAATACTTGTATATATATTGTTGCTAGTTAAAAGATTTTGGTATAAAGCAAAACTAATATACCTTTTTTGTGTTGACCGCGTTTTATAAAACTATAAATAAAATTCATGGCTTTCAATATTAATTACATATACGTTTTTTCATTTTAAAAAATAAATTTTATTTACACATTAATATACATGATATATCGGTAAGAAATAATTTTATTTTAAGCACTCATGATCGTTAATACTACTAATATAGTAACTTGAAATTTTTTTATAGTTATCGACTACCTAGTAGATGTCGACAGTTACGTTTCAGTAGTAGCTGAAAAAATAGACATAGTTAAATGAATTATATATTCCTGTTATGTTTTTTCTCATTGTTAGTACATGAATTCTAAAATTTAATACAGCAAGCTGTGATACATAAATTTAAAACAAGGGGAGGTTATCGAACAAAACCAGTATATTTGTCACTCAAAAATTTCTTCACGTATAATCAAAACGGCAAGCACCTATCTAAAAATTATATTCATGCTTAAGCATAGCTAAAAAAGAACATGCAATAACAGCGTCAATCTTTACTCACTTGGTTTAACAATTAAAGGCACTGCATTTAAAAGTTGATAAAAATGTATTAGTTATGGTATAAGCAAGAACTTCGTAAAATTAATGTTTTATTGTCAATTAAATTTTTCCCTGTGAATTAGTTTTATTTTGTGTTGTATTTACTTAAGTCAAAGTAAAATAGATCTGAAATAGTTCAGTTGTATTAGCAGGTTATGACACTGGACACTTTAGGTCTTTCACCAAAATTCAAATATTAGTTATTTTCGTCTAATTTAAATTTCCACTTTTAATATTTGAGAAAATGAACACTTTTTTTGAAATAAAATCAATTATTCTGACGCAGGCTGTACATTTTCATCAGAAATCCACAAAGAATATAGTCAAAACACTGTTTCTTTTGCACCTAAATGGTGTTATTAAGAGTTGGTACGGTTCTAAATTAAGTCGATGTTTAAGTCAAAATATGTTAAACTGTAACAGTATGACCAACATAAAATTTGATTTTAAGTTAAATAAGTTGTGTGGGAAGTAAAGGTCGATTTATAAACTTGCCGCTGACGTTGGGGCGACGTTCGAGATGACCAACTTTTAACCAATCAAATTGCACCAATATTAAGCTATTTAACCACATGTTCACCGAAATCCTCATATTTTAAATAGCTACCATCATTTTCTACACTGTAGCTTTCTGTCAGTACTTACGCATTGTTGAAGATAGTTCTCGACGTTTAAATCAGCAAGATTTATTGCTATTTGTCTTAAAAGCAGATTATAGGTACTATAACTACAAGGGTTTTTTGTTGTTATAAGTTTTTTCTTAATATGTGTAGTCTTCTCTTCACAACAAGAAAGGTAAAACATGTTTGAAGTGGTAAATTTTTGGAGGAAAGTATCGATTTTGCTATTACGCTCCGCCCCTTGGTCTGACAACGAATGAAAAATTCATTACGGTCGAGATCGAGACGGACGGGTGGGGCTTCTCTTTTGGTTTTCTTTTTTAATTGATACATTTAGTTTTCTTTGTATAACACGATTACTGAAGAACATATTTCACATGGTAATTTTTCGTAGAAAAATAAGGATTTTACAATTAACCTCCGCCCCTCGGCTTACGACGAATAAAACTAAAATCATCAGAATTGAGATAGGGAGGGTGGGCGGGGCTTATATTTTAACATTTTTACTTAATACACATAACCATTTTTTCACAACAAGAAACTTAAAACATGCTTAAAATGGTACATTTTTGCAAGGAAATATAGATTTTGCAATTACAGGACGGAGCCTAAATGCAAAATCGATATTACCCTGTACAAATTTTCCATTTTAAATATGTTTTTATTTCATGTTGTGAAAAGAAGTCTACACATATCAATACACAAAGGCAAAATGTAAGCCCGCCCACCCGCCCTATTTCAATTGTGATGATTTTTTTATTCGCCGTGAATCAATGGGCGGAGCTTAACTGCAAAATACTTACTTCTTTACAAGAAATTAAAAACATGTTTTTGAGTATCGTGTTGTTTCAAAGAATACGATGTTCATTACGAAAAAAAGGCAAAATATTAACCCCGCCCACCCAGCCCATCTCAAATATGATGATTTTTTTATTCTCTCCTCCCCTACGTCTGCCCACGAATGAAAATTTCATTACTATTTAGATCAATCAAGGCAGGTATGGGTGGGGCTTAATCTTTGGCTTTAATTTTTTCTTAATATACATAGTATATTAGTCTTTGAACAACACGATACTCAAAAATATGTTTTTAATTTCTCGTAGAGAAATACGGATTTTGCAGTTAAGCTCCGATGACTTGACTCACGATGAATAAAAAAAATCATCACAATTGAAATAGGGCGGGTGGGTGGGGCTACACGTTGCCTTTTTTTCTTAATAGGTGTAGACTTATTTCGACAACAAGAAACTAAAAACATGCCTAAAATTTTTTCTACAATCCCTTTAAATACGGCAGAAGTTGAATATCAAAGTTACTACCAACGGCAATTTGGCAACGAGGTTATAAATGACAACTTTCAGCTCTAAAAGCAACGTCAGTGGGAACAGCAACTGCTACAGGAACTTCACCGTCAACAGCAAGTTTATAAATCCCACTAAGTGATTTAAAGTAGTGTCTGTCTATGTTTGTATCATTGAAATTTAAGACTTGTGCTATTTGCCGCTCACGTAGCGGCAATTGGATAACTACAGCCCTTATTTAGACAAGGCGGCAAAATTCAACACTTGCTTTATAACTTCAAATATACATATATTCATAATGAATTGTAATTAATGACCTGATGTATTCCGTGTTTGCACATGGTGTTAAGTGAAAATGCGCAACCTGGTCTTGTATGTGTGGTAAGGTAAGTACGGGAAATTGTAACAACTGGATACTGTGAACCATTAAACATTTTAAAACTATCAGTTTGTAAGTCAGTACTATTATTTTGTACAAGATGATTAGAGAACGTAACTGTTATGCAAAGCAACAAAGTATTGTTAGTTATAAATTGAAACAAATGATACATGGTTAGTTGGTAGCTGGTCGGACACACTCGAAACCATTAAACTTACTGTAACTTGGCAGTATTTTTACAAGTGTGTTTCTTTCCAGCCTATAAAACGACACATTTTCGTTTACAACGAGTCGACACATAAAAATTTAGAGAAAAATTTTAGATATGTACCTGTGGTAAATCGAAATTCTTCATTTCCACTATCGAGAGCATTGAGACTGGGGCTAGCCCGATGCACATCGTATTCACTATCAGCCATGAATTCCGACTCTGCATCCTCGTTCAGAGTCTCAATGTCTCGATGTGGGTCAAGTGGGCCCAGCACCGGAGGAAGATGGTGACAACGAGATTCGTTACTCTCATTACTATGAAAGCTGGAGGAATCAGGTATTTCACTGCCTGGTACCTCCGTTATGTTAGGCAGTGTTTGGCTATGTCTTGCCCAATCTGAGCAGTCCCAATGATAACCTAAGAAAGCATCAATGCATTAGAAATCGTCGAATGACAACTAACAGAAAAGAATGATAAGCTGATGGTTTAAATACGAGAAGAAAGCGGATTTTGTACAGGTTAGTGGCGGATGGAACATCACAGTTATCGACTTACTTCCTACAGAACGTTGGTCCTCTTCGGGACACACTGAGCCATTCGACTTGACAAAGTTCATAGTATTACTTCGCCCTCCATACAGTCTGTTTGGAACATCACAATTAACTGGACTTGATATTTTGAATTCTGTAGAAATTGAAAACGTCAAAATAAATCACAATAAAAAATAAACTGGGGTGAAAGATGAAGAGAGGGTAAATCGACACAAAAAGTAAAACAGATCACCGAAAGCGACTAGGAAGAGCACAAATAAATTTTATAAAAACAGCGGGATAGTTTCAATGTGAAGCAGGACTAGCGCCGGCGGCGTCGAACTCCAAGCATATATTGTTCTAGTGTTTTTAGTGCAAATGTTCATTGCAGTGAATGCTGTAATAACCAGCGAAAAATGTTACCATTCCCATTCAAGAGACCGTGTATAATGTTTTATGCAGTTTGCTCTAAAACCTCGTGATAAACCATGGGCCATGAGTTTCAAGCATTTACAAATATATCCCCAGACTTCTATATAATTGATATACTGCACATGCGCGGAATGTTTGAAGAATTGATACCCTTCAAATCTAACGGAATGATCATTATCAAAGCAGTAAGGTAAAAAACCGTGGTGAGCATGGGGAAAAAGACTAATGAGTCCTGCTTCACTTTAGACACGTGATCAACGGCGTAACTACTTTCGGTACAACAATGCACTAAGATATTTTTTTATTCACTTACCATTTCTCACTTTCGGTTTGTCGTTTAAGGAAGACGCTAGATGCATCTGCTCCGCCCATGTCGTCTTTTCCGAATCACAATGATTCCCTACACAATTCTGGCCCGTATTCCTATTCAAATTTCTCACATAATCCGGCGGAACATTCTCCAACTCGTCTCCCGCCGACCCGTAACTCCTCAACGTATCCAAATTATTCAACATCATCGTGTTATTGCAATTATACAAAGAATCATTCTGACCCGAAGCCGTATACGAAACAGGCCTCGGCGGGCAAACCGGAATTTCCCTCTGATTCACCTCCAAATTACTCAGTTTGGAGCCTCTCTTAAACTCGCTCATCTCGTGAGGCCTCGTCGAGTTCAAAACAATATGATCCTTGATATTCTCGTTATTGACGTTTCTCCTCCTCCTTTGGCGCTTCGTGTAACATCTCCTGCACACCACGAACAGAATCACCAACAAAAGGATCACAAGTATCCCGATTCCGATAGCCACGAGCTCCTCCCAAGTGATGTTGTAAATGGAGGAAGTGATGGAACTGTTGTAGATGAGGTTGCCACAGTATGGCCCCGAGGTGTTCTGGGGGCAGACGCAGCGGAAAGAGCCGACCTCGTTGAAGCAAGTTCCTCCGTTCTGGCACGGCGACGACTCGCATTCGTTGACGTCGTACTCGCAGAACTCGCCGAAGAACGAGCGGCACTTGCACAAGGGGCGGTCGTCGCCCTCCTCGCACACGCCGCCGTGTTTGCAAGGGTTGGGAGCGCAATAGTGGCCGTATTCGCAGCGCTTTCCTGAGAGTCGGAACATACATTCGCAGGTGTAGTCGCCCGGAACGTTGGAGATGCATTTGCCGCCGTAGAGGCAGGGCGCGGAGGCGCAAGGGTCCATGTCGAGCTCGCAGAGGGTCCCCGTGAACCTCGTGTGGCAACTGCATTCGTACCTGCCGAGAAATACAGAGTCAATACGAGGAAAGACTGTTAAAAGAATCACACTTGCTCTACCTTCCAGCTATAAAATCTGTGGAGGCACAATTAGCTAAGCTTAATTTTTAATTTAATAAACTAAGTAAAAACCTGTCTTACCCTGTATTTGTTTCATGGCAAGTTCCCCCGTTCATGCAAGGCTGCGATCCGCATGGACCCGGGGGGATTAAAACGTTGTTAGTATCACAGCTAAATTCTACATTGGCAAATCGTTTAAGGACTGCTACGGAGTTGTCTCCGGATTTGTGCAAAGGAACAGACATTCGAGATATCCTAATGTCGTCCATGCAACCTGAGAAGCCTCTTTGGATATCTTCAAAACCTAGAATCGAGGGATGCTGATGGACTTCCGCTCCGAGGTACATCTCGTCACTTTGAAGATTGAGAATGTCGCTTATACCAGGAGCTGAACCTTGGGCTGTGTGGGTACCATCAATGGTGATTTTGGCACTATTTCTATCTCTCTCGAGTTTGACTTCGTGCCATCTGCCGTCGGAAACGTACACTGAAGACTCCCTGACTATACCCTCGCCGCTACCCAGTTCAAACCGGTACTGTACCGCGCCGTTTACTATCTGAAAAGTAAATCGTGATTTGTAATACAGCTCAACTTGTAGAAAAAAATCTGGTTACCTCCAAAATATTATAATCGACCTTCCCAGCCGCATACATCAAATTTCCAGTAGGCTGTACCGTTCTAATCCTCAAACTCAAACTGAGCTGATCTTCGATTGACTTCTTGTTGATGATGCGGTACTGCGAATAACTTTTCCCACTGAACGAGATCGGGTTTCTGGCAATGTAGCAGTTCTGATCATGGCACTTAGAAATATCAACATCACACATGGCACCAGCGAAACCTTCAGGACACTGACATGAATACCCAGCCGTAGAAGCATCAGGTATGCAGTTCTTGTATGGAGGACAAGGTTCTCTGGCACACTCATTAACAATAGTATCACATTTTTCTCCTCCATATCCTTCTTTGCATTCACATTCTAACTTCTGGCGATGTCGCGGCGACACAAAACTAGTGACGTCGGTCGCCACCGGCTCTATACGTGTGGGTTCCAATACGTAATGGTCCTGGCAAGTACCAAAGACACAATAACTATTGCTACACTTAAACCTAATGATTTCTTCAACCACTAGTTTCGTACTCTCTTCCAGTTCTTCTAGATTGTCGTTAAGTGCTTTCCTGATGGAATCAGACGAATAGAAACCTTCATCGGGTCGTCGCACGGTGAATAGAACATCCAGGTCTTTACTAACGATGTAGCGTTTTGATCGTAACGGAAGGTCGTCGTCATTGGATGGTTGGACACTTACGATTACCACATCTTTCAAACGACAGTTCATGGCATTTCTCACAGCTCTGACAAAGCCTTTTCTATGACTCAAAACAAACACCTCTGGACTCACTTGTCGGAATCTTATAGCAACAGCATGATCCAACATGTCCTCATTGATCACTTCAATGTTGATTTTAATAATCGAGTGTGCGTGGAATTTACCGTCGGTCACGGAAACGTTCAGTCGGTAGTCACCGGCATCCAGACGCGGCAAAGCTGTCAAAGTACCGTCAGTACGGTTAATTTGAAACAGTTCGTGCGTATGATACGGATACGACATTTCTAGAGTCGGTGTTAAAGAGAAAGTCAGAGTGTCATACTGATCTTGGTCGTTTGCGTACACTTTTCCAATGATACCGCCAGGGTATTCGTCTAGGTACGAATTGATGTTGATTTCTAACGGCGTGATTATCGGTGGATACTGTGATTCTTCTATGACTTTGACCACAACCCAGGAGTCAGAGTAGAGGGGCGGGATCCCGTTGTCAAACACCCTGATTTGAAGTAGGTAATTATCTTTAATTTTGTGGTTGAATTTGGTCGCCGTTCGCAGAATCCCGTCCTCTTCTAACCTAAAACTGTTGCCGTCGTTTCCACTCCTGAAGTCAAAGGTGTAGGGAATCGTATTGGGGAGAGTGTCGGCGTCAGTAACTGTAAATTTGATGATGGGATAACCGATTGGTTTATCCTCCTGAAACCGATCGAGTGCAAAATGTGGATTCGGCAATTAAGCGTTAACTTACTTGAATGACGGTGGTGTAGTTACTTTGAGAGAATAATGGAGGATTGTCGTTTGCGTCCGTAATTTCTATATTAACTAAAGTTTGTCTAGAAAGCACCGGCACTCCATTGTCTTTGGCCAGGATTTCGAGAACGTAGCTAGATGTGGTTTCGCGGTCTAATTCGTCAGCTACTGATATGTACCCTGTGTCTGGATCTATTTCGAACTGTTCACGATTGTCTCCTCTGATGATGGAGTAAGTCACTTGGCCGTTTTTGTCACTGTCCAAGTCCGTGGCGATCACCTGCGACAAAAGTAGTTATGGCGCGCATTTTCAAGGTCAGAAGAAGACCGCATTACTACTTAAACCAAGGTCACTGTTTAAATAAGGTGCAACAAGTATATACTGATTACACACACTTGAAAAAAAGGTATTATATTGTTTTCTATTGCTATTTTCTTGCGGCTTTTTATTAAAAATTACAGCAATATCCGAAAAAAGACATGGGACAAATGCTACATTAACTTAAATAACTCTAGAAAAACACATAACTCAATTATCGTTCAAACTTGCTCAAGATATTTGCACATTCTTCGGCTTGACGTAATCGTTTTCGCGTCCGCCAAGGAACAAAGTAGTTTCTATATCCAATCCAAAAGCAAACAAAACCACTAATGCCTGCGATAACTAGAAGAGAAGGTTTTCCCTTCTGCTTTGATGCCCACTGCTGATACCATCCCATTTTGGTGCTTATTTATGAGATGATTCACCAGATTTTTTTCTTTTCACGATAGTTGATAACTAATGGTTTCCAAATGTAAATACCACCCAAAACTCCTAAAACTGTGGCAAAACCTAACTGAGTCCCTGTTAAGCTTTTGGGTTTTCGGATTTTCATACTATGATGAATAATGACAGGACATGATCAGCACTAATTGAGGTTATGCCAAAAATAATTATGATTTTGTCTTTAGATCTTCACTACGGTTGCTAGAATCTTTTCTCTTCTGAGATGCTACCCAAGGTTTAACAAAAAATATACTCAAATGTGTAGCTAGAGCAGAACCAAATAAAAGAGCAATAAAATAAGCTTTTTTGGATGATTTTGGAGTCATTACTTGATTTTGACAGTAGACTAAGGTATGCCATTACTATAGTTGGGTTACTAATCATGGTTTGACTAATAATTTGAAATGCAAACGTAAAGAGCAGTTCCATCACAAGTAATAAAATTACTCGTTATGTGGCTATGACAAGATATGACACGGAACGATTTTTAACAAAATGCTGGAAAATAAAATTGTAACATGTGGATCTTAAATTTTTATCGCCTCACTATACTGAACTTGGAAACCATAAAAGATATATACGAGGTCGTTTAAATAAAAAAAAAGTGGTTTTACTACGTTTTGATTAATAATCGGTCGTGAAATAAATTCTAAGGAATTTTTTAGATTTCCCCGATTTCAGATTATAAAGTTCAACTTTGTTTTTCTTTTTTTTGTGGTATATTATGTACAAAGATTGTTTGTGAATTTCAAAACTTAGTTCCTAAAACTATACCGCAACAAAATACTTAAGTATTTGTGGCTAAAATATTATTTATTGAAGGTTTTACGTTGGTACCATTAGCGCTTTCTTGGTGAAGCATTCTGACTCAAGGCAGTTTCTGTTCTGTTCTGTTTTAATAGTCTTTTATCTTTTATTTTGTTTTTTGTGCTGTTTTTTTTGGCATTTGTGCCTTTAGAATTGATTTAATGTGGAAATTTTGGTATATATACGGAGTGATTATTATAAAGGAACGTCCATCAAGTTTGTTTTGTGAATCTGTCATTAAATTTTTATCAAGAATTTGCCGCTTCCTTGTTTTATCAAACAATTTATTACAGTCCTAAAATACACAATCAAGATTATTGTATGAGTGTCATACGTTTTTTGGATTCAGTCACACATTCCTGCAAGAAATAGTGTTCAGAGTGGTCACCATTTTACTACAAGCACATTCTCACATTTAAGGCAGTGAGGTTATGATTGACATTAGTGACAGGTGACGAGTAATTAACGCATAATCATCAATCATCACAACGGAGCGGCAAAATTAATGAAATTTCAAAGCTAGCTTAATGTACAATCTTTTACAATCATCTTGTATTATATCTCTTGATGCGCTTGAATACAAGAAAAATGAGAAATTATATAGTGTGCAACAAATGACTGCTAAATATCAATTAAGAAATTTTGGAGTTTACCATTTATAATTTGAAATCTATTTTTTTTTAAATGAATAATCAAAAGTAACAATGTGACGTTTTTCTAATTTAACCCACTTCAGAACATTCGCGTTTTCTGCGACTACAATAGTGGAACTTGAATTTTAAATGAACATATTTTTCGCGACAAAGTATTACATTTTAAAAATGCATTGCACACAAGAGCTTCAGGTGGCGACTTTTCTTACGACAATCTGTCCTATTCGATACTTTATTAGCACAAAGTCTTAAAAGAGACACAGCCAAGCTGTTTCACGTTCGCTTATTAACTTCAATCGTCTTTCTCGATTTTATTGTGGACAAGTTAAAATTCTAAACCATCCGGTGCTCTTGGAATAGAATCTGTTTTACGACACCCGAGAAAATAAAGTTGTCTTTTAAACTAGTCGTTTACTTTTTGTGGCCTCTGGTGGTGAGTGAGCTTCCACTCTGAGAAATTTATCTAAAAATAGTTGTTCTTCTCCAGGGACACGAATGCACAGTTTCATAACGTTTCTTTGCGAAATTCTATTTTCACGGACATTGTATGCAAGAGATAAATAAATTGGAGTAACTTCCCGCGCCGTCACAAAAATATAAACGCCTTGCGGAATTTGAACGTGTACAAGATTTAGCTACGGTGGAACTTACCTGCAGAATCTTATCGCCGATTTGGGCATCCTCCCTAATTCTCGAACTATAGGACAACTGACTGAACACTGGCGCGTTATCGTTACAATCCGTGACTGTAATATTCACCGTAGCTGAATTACTCAAAGGTGGGGTTCCCCCATCCACCGCCTGTATAGTAAGAAAGTAGTCTTTCGCCCTCTCGTAATCCAACATTTCGGCGATCGATATGACACCCGTCTTATTATTAATCGCAAACTTCTTGTGTTCATTTCCTCCAATAATCGAATAGTACACATCTGCGTTAACCCCCGTGTCTTTGCTCGTAGCAAGAACCTTAACAACTTCCGTACCGACAGCATCAATTTCCGGAACAACGGCAAAGTAATATTTGTTGGCAAATTCCGGAGGATTATCATTGATGTCTTGGACGTTTACTATCAGAGTGCTTACGCTAGACAATTGCGGCGTTCCCTGATCGACTGCTTGGATTGTTAGGTTATAAACAGCCCTTATTTCTCGATCCAGAGGTTTAGCCAAAGTGACTATTCCGCTATCGGACGCCATCTTGAAGTGGTTGTTAAACGAATCAATGAATGCGTACTTAATTTTTCTATTGATACCAATATCGGCATCCGTTGCGTGGATTTTCGTTACTAAAGTCCCCACTTCAACGTCCTCAGGAAGCGAAACCGAATAGTAAGGTAGAGAAAACAAAGGAGCGTTGTCGTTTAAGTCCGATATGATTAATTCGATTTGAGAAGAACACTTCCAATTCGGTTTTTCTTTGTCGTGAACGTGCGCCGTTAGGGTGTATTTGGATTGTTTCTCTCTATCCAAATATGTAACGGTTTTAAGATGGCCGCTGTCTTTGTCTAACAGGAAATTGTCCATGCCGTCGCCTGATAGTATGTAACGCAGCTTCGAGTGCTCGGGGCCGTCGATGTCCGTCGCAAGGACCGACAAGACGAAGGATCCCGGAGTGATGCCTTCGGACAGGACTTGGCGGTAGCGGTATTTAAGACAATACGGAGGATTATCTGTGGAAACAACAAAGACAGCCGTAAAATATAAACACCGTCGACAAATACACAGATCCCACTTGCTGCGCCAGTTTTAACCCCCCCGAATCAATATTCACGGGCAAAACTCAAGCGAAACTCACCGTTTGCGTCCAGTATGGCAATAGAGACATTAGTGACGTCAGTAAACATGCCATCCGTAACTAACACCTGAAGATCGTAATGCGGCACGTTCTCCCGATCCAGGGGCTTAGCAACGTAAATTTCTCCAGTTTGCCGGATTTGGAATTGCGAACTTGGATCCCCAGATATGATATAAAAATCCACCGGTGTCGTCAAATCGGTATCCGCATCGATTGTGTCTAAAGTTAGAATGACGGTGCCAGGAAGAGCGTCTTCGTTGACGGCGCTCTCGTAGAAACGCTTCTTGAAAGTGGTAGGACTGTCGTTGTAATCTTTCAATCGCACGATGACTGTCGTGCGTGCCGAATGCTTCGGAGTCCCGTTATCGGTAGCCGTCACGTAGAATTTGTATTCTATTTTGGTTTCTTTGTCTAGTTTGACGAGGGTGGTGATCCAGCCGGTGTGCGAGTCTATGGCGAAGATGTCCAAGATGTTGCCGGAGTCTTGGTTGATGCTGTAGCGCACCTCGCTGTTGGCGCCCTGGTCCTCGTCGTGGGCAACAACTAGAAAGAAAGATTGGTTTCCTCATGCTAATCGTAATTTAGTGAACTATCAAAATCCCTAAAACGAATACACCTTGTAACGCCTCTTCAAGCTAAAAGCAATGACGTTTGCAGAATTTCAATATTTCTATCCGTTCTGACGTGTTTTTTTTAATGTCATATGTGATTTGTGTCTTTCATGCATGCCAGTTTGAAAAATCGCGTTTGCTTCCGTAAAATTTACTTGACACAGAGTAAATGGTGGATTCTTTGAGTGCCTCTTGTAAAATCAAAGTTGTTCGTTGTTTTAATGTTGACTTTAATTATTTATTTTATTTAACAGAATGAAAGTACAATTATTCGTGTTGTTTATTCATGCCAAGGTTTGTTAACCAGGTCGGGTAGAAAAAATTCTTTACCTTTTAAAATGCTGGTCCCTTCTTCAGTATTCTCCGCCAAATAGACGATGTAAGGGCTGCTTTCAAATTGAGGGTCGTGGTCATTCTCGTCCAGCACCTTCAAAGCGACTTCGGCCAACGCCGTCATTGGTGGACTCGAGTCAGACAAGGCCAAGATGCCAATCAGATGCGAGTCCTGGGATTCGAAATCCAGTGGTTTCGCTAAGGTGATTTGACCCTGAGAGTCGACTTCGAACTGTGGTCTTTCGTCTAGTTCCGAAATGATTTGATAGGTGACGCTCACGTTGGACGCCATCTTTAATTTAGTAATAATGGTCCCTGAAAATGAAAACTGTAGGTACGCGCGTACAACTGGGTGCGACTTACCGGCGGGAGAGTTTTCAGCCAAGAAATACTTTTCGTCTTTTCTTTCGAAAACAGGCGGAAAGTCTTTTGGTCCCATAATTAAAATATTGACGGGAACATCCGAGTGTCTTTCTTGTGGACCTTTATCGGAAGCCCTGACGAAAAACTGGAACACTTCGCCAACTGAAAACGTTCGATTAAAGCGTGAGAATTTCGAGAAATTTGCGGCTTACTCCAAGAGCTTGCGTCCTTTTTTAGCGACAGATCTCCCGTTTCTGCATCGATTTGGAAAACGTCGATAACCTCCGACGACTTCTTTTCGTATATTTGGTACCTAATTTGAGCAGACGCGCCTTCGTCGGCGTCTTTCGCTTTGACTCTCATGAAGGGTACGTTGACGCTATGATTAAAATGTATGCTAGTCTTATATTCTCTTAACAAAAAATAGGGCGCGTTATCGTTTTCGTCGGCTACTTTGATTCTCACTGTAAGAAAACCGGCCCTCCCGCCACCGTCCGTGGCCATCACCGGAACCTCATACAACTTCTGCTTCTCCCTGTCTAGACGCACTTTAGTGCTCAGTTTCCCCGTGACCTTATCAATTTTGAAAGTCTCGCTCAATAGATCCGAATGAATAGAATACGATATGGCTCCGAACTCCCCGAAGTCATCATCTGTTGCCTTTACGACGGTCACCGGAAAATCTGGGGGTTGATTTTCAGGCACTTGCACATCGACAATGAACTTATCGAACTTGGGCGGATGTAAATTCGCCGGTAACAATTCCACCTTCAGTCTTGCGAAATTTGTGTAAACACCATCAGAAACGGAAACGTTTAGAATCATCGTGTTTTCGTTTCCGAAATTCGCCAAGTTCGTTAGGGTGATTATTCCGGTTTCCGGATTCATTGAAAATGTTTGTTGTTCGTTGCCGGCGACGATGGTGTAACGCAGATTGTTCTGATCTACGTCGTCGGGGTCACTCGCTTTTACGATTGTGACGAATTGGTCTCGATTCGCGTTCACCAGTAGGCCGCAGGAGTAAGAGGTCTGCTCGAATTTTGGCGGGTTGTCATTCATGTCCAGAACTGAAACGAAAGAACCGTAAATGGCGCGGAAATGCGCTAACAAAAAAGCTGCTGTCACGACTCCCAGATGTCTATTCTACTCTCGAAATCTTCGTGATTAACGAAATAAACATCCGGGTGCTATTTACCCCGACATAAAATAGTTACTCTCGGCACAAAATTGCTCTGGGCTGCAAAGATGTAGCTTACGCACGTTTTAATATGGAATAAACGCAGTATTTTGGTAATTATCATTGGTCAATACACATTTTTGAACATTTTCAATATTAGTTTTCTCCCAACATACATGTTCACTTAAGTTTTTAGCATATTTATGTAAAATACTGAAAAAATCATCTGCTGTCACGAACTAGATTTGAATTATTAAAAGCTCCAAAAGAGTTTCTAGGGCCGAGATTACAAGGATGGAAGTTTTTTATTTCCAGATAAGCGTATTTCAGTCTAGAAAGAATAGTTAACATTTCTCATGAGAAGAAAGTCTTTTCTTCCACAATAATATTGACAATTTAAGAAAAAATACGTTTTCTTCGAAATTGTTCGAGTCTAAAAATTGCACTACACATTGGAAATATTGACCTTTTGGTTCGTGTTAGATATGCTGTTTACATTAAGAAATCTTTGGAAATTTGGCATGTTAGTGAAATTGACTAACCTGGCCTGATTAAAAGTTGTAAAAATTATGCTTGGTTTATACCTTCGATACAAGATGGATCGGTTTCAGAAGAAATTTTCTAGCTTGGTTTCTGTATGTAAATAACTACATATATACATATCAGCACAAATTTGAAATGCGTCAAACTCAGTTTAGGGTACGGCAAGGCTGAATATTAGGATAATTAATTTTTCCACTGTATATCTGCATATTATCTCAGACTCCTCAAACTGTAATAATCCTATCTGGAGATAACACGTTTGTCACTGTTCAAGTTGAGACCTCTAGGGACTCCAAATGAAAGTAAATAAAAAGAATTGGTTGAATGGTATTAAACAGAACATCTTTTGCCCCTGAAATGTAATTTTTAATTGTAATAATTGTACAATTTTTGTTTATTTGCGAAAATTTGGATGCTTTGGGTAAAAATTCATGGAGAATGTTATTGTATCAAATGTAAATAGCATTTACCATGCAAAATTTTTAGATGGCGTCATCAGATTGTTGGCGAGGATGATTATAAAATTTTGGTTAGTGTTTTACTATTTGCACGATATTTCTAACATACATATAAAATTTGGCAACTATCGGTGTAGTAGTTTCGGAGAAAATATCTAACAAATATGGGCAGAAACGACGGGCAGACGGAAACGGGAGATCTATTTTTTCATACCCTACGGGTCATCAAACGTTGAAAAAAGTTCCTTCGCATATCCTCGGGTATAAACTAAGATACTCCTGCGCTTGTGGTGTGTGAATCCATGTCGAATTTTCACCATAGACATCCAGATTTTTGGAAAAAAATTCAAAACAATATTTTGCAATTTAACTTTGAAAGTGCAAAACCGAATGCTCTGAAATCTTGTAAATATGTTAAGGTTGTCGTAATCATGGTAAATCGTTAGGAAAAATTTATTCGTTAATCCCCTCCCAAAAAATTGAAGACGTCATCTCAAAATTTTGCCGAATAAATCCTCTCTAAAATATGCAAAATATTATGACTGCATATTTGTGGCTTATCAACGGACTCAAGGTTTTTAGAATTATTTATACAAGGCGACTCAATAAATTAATGAAAGTCAGTTTATTTTATTGATTAAATCAAGAACTGCAAAACTGAATACTTTCAAATTTTGGAGACGTGTTAAACCTAGGTATCGTAAGCATGGAAAATTTTTAATCAAAATATATCTTTTTATCCCCTCTCAAAAATTGATGAGGTTATCTCAAAATTTTGTGGAATAAATTCTCTCTGAAATATGCAAAATATTTAGGATTCTATAACTGTGGTTTATCAATGCATTCATAGATTTTAGAATTAATTATAAATCGTATCCAAAATGTGGAAAATATGATAAATCTGTACTTGTGCATCACTGCATTAAAAGTTTTTAAATTTGTTCTACAGGGTATAAAAATGAATGAGTCAATTTATTTTTGTGAAATCGGGAAGGGCTCCTACATTTTCCCGAAAATTTTGGGAATACAATACCGTTGTCATTAGTATTATACTGCACCTATCCAAAGTGATATACGTGTCTTTGCAAAAATGTTGATGTCAGCGCAAAATTTTATTATGGGAAAACGTACGCGCAGCACGCTTCTTTACATTTCTTTTAACGTTACATACAAATCTTTATTTTAACTTATAAGGATTTAGGATTCTCATAAAAAAAAAATAATAATAAAATTCGCATAATCAAATTTTATAATATTTCTAAAAAGCTGGGTTTGTTTTATTGTACTTCAGGGGCGAGGGAAGTTCTGTCGAGATAACCTTCGATCAAATTTTTTTTATTGCAGTCAACTGATTGGTTAAATAAGGAAGCCGTAGATTCTTATTAAAATGTAATGACAGATTTTCCAAAACAAACTTGGTGTACAGACGATGTTTCTTATAAAGTAAAAAATAAGTGATGGTATACAAAGTGAATCACTAAGTGTGCGTACCTCGATATCTCATTAATTATTAGAAAAAGAAAAAAAGTCAAAGGCCAAAGTTGTACTTTTCTTTGAGGGAGTATACTCTAAAATTGTGTGTTTTGTCTTTAATAAGGCGAACACAAAATTTTATATATTTTTACATATTTTCTATTTACCAACCACTTCTTAGGCTTTATAACCATAGTTTATTTTTGAATTTCTGATGCGATGTTGCCACGCTGTTTCAATTTTCTTGAAATTTTTAACAGTAGGTTTCACAAAAAAAATCGCAGGTTATTTTTAACATCTCTGTTAAAATATTTTGTTGTGGTGTAAATGAAATAAAATTTCCATGCACAGTGCTTATTAAAAAAACTTTATTTATTATTACAATTTTCAAATATCCATAATTCAGTTTTTTCAAAAAGAACACCCTATATTTTACTACTGCATTTTGTTCTATTTTTTGTTCTTCTCCTATTTTGTTAAGTATTTTCTATATTTATAGTTGTTAGTTCCTGCGATTTTTTACTGTTTTAAGAGACACATCGACATGGCAACGTCGTATCCGAATTTAAAAAATAAACTATATAGTTATAAAGCCAAGGAAGAGGCTAATGAGGATATGTAAAATATATAGGTTGTTTCATAAAAAAAAAACTAAATTGTGTATTACGTCTTGAAAATAGAACACTCTTGTATACCGTACAACTTTGCTCTTTGAATTTTTCTATCTCTAATAATAATTAATGTGATATGAATTTAAACTCTGAAACGTGTAATTATGTTGCGTATTTTTCAATTAAATTTTCATTTTCTACGGTTCATTTGTATATGGTGATATAGATTTCCACGGTAAAAATCCAAAAAAATGCTGATCAAAATAATATTCAAGACGAAACACAATGGTCCTTTTCTATAAACGAAATCTTGGAACAAAATTTGTCATTCTATTTCTCAAAGTGATTTGGTTTTTCGCTAAATTATACAGTAATAATGTCTAATATTTTTAGAAGTATTAAATATATGTATAGAATACTCTAGAAAGTTTTTTAAGTTAACTTACAGTTAACTTAGACTTGACAGCTAAACTGGTCATTATAAAACTGGCACTAATTCTTTCGATATTAGATTATATTACACCAACTCCCGTTAGTATAGTGTTTTTACAATTCTGACTTCTCCACTACCCTTGTCGACGAATAATGCAGCTTATTAGATGCAAATTTATGACACTATCTTTGTTCGGTGGCAACTTTAAATAGGACCGGCTTATTTTTAGCGGTGTTCGTTGTTTACAAAGAAGGAGTTTGGAAAAATCAAAGCCATATAACGACTATTTTCGTTGGTACACCATACAATATAATAATTACGGCATCACCAGAAACAAATAGAATTTCTGTCAGCCCAATATTACTGCTTATGAAAACAAACACCTAAAATCAGTGTTATGAAAGCAGGTATGGAGAATCACTATTATTTTACTATATAAAGATAAAACAACTGTGTGAGAAGTTTCCTAAGTACATACAAAAAACCTAAATGCTTCGCTGCTTTTAAGCGGGATCTAAAAGCATCATTAATTGGAAAATCTTATCACGAAATGTATGAATATTTTCAAGACACGGTTAATTATTTAACGATTATGTTATTTCTCAACTCATTGAATTTTTAGGTTAATTGTTATTGTACTGATTTGTATTTCTAAATGTGCAATGTTGTAATTGACACAATTCCATATCTATAATTTGTAGATCTGTGAACTGAATAAAGTGATTTTAATTTTGATTGTTTCATTTGTGAGCGCGACAGCCTAGCAAGAAATTACCATTATATTGTGAAAATAATGGCCATCAGGAGAGCAATAAATTCCCGAGCAAAAGAACATACTCCACGCTGTACTAGTTTAAAGCAGCCACATTTTCTTATCACCATTGCATATAGTTAAAAGTGGTTTAATGGAAAATTACGTCAAACAAGAAAAATTCCAATATACCGATGCAAAAATTAAAGCAAATATTTTTGTAGAATTCCAACGGAATTTATTAGCGCGGAGAAAAATATTCTAAACCGAATACAATAGTGTTATTATCTTTAATTTATTTTTTACGCTAATTTTTCCAAAGTCTGACGTGATACAAGTAATTCTTTTTTAACACCGTGATCACAACTAGACAACAAAAACAAATTGTATATTGAAACAGCGAAAAAAAAAAATAAAAAAAGTGTTTTACCTGTAAGCCAGACGTGAGCGGTGCTTGACAGGCTCGGCATGCCCAGGTCCTTCGCCACAACGACGAAATGGTGAGAGCTAGCGTCTTCATGGTCCAGTGCTTGTTTTAAATAAATAATACCCTCGTTTTCATCGATGTAAAAATATTCGCTCGAGTTGCTACTGTCATTCTGAATCGAGTAACTGATTTTCTTGTTGATACCCGTGTCGTTATCGTTCGCGAGGACCGTGAGAACGGGAGTTCCGAATTGTGCCGCCTCTGATATTGACACATTGTAATTCTCTTGAGTGAATTCTGGAGGGCAATCATTAACGTCCTGTAAGACTATCGATACGGGAACTTCTGCGTAGACGCCGGAAACGGAGTCCGTTGCACGAATGAGCAGCTCGTACTGGGGCTGCTGTTCGAAATCGAGCTCATCCACGACGGAGATGACACCTATGAGGAAGAATTTTGTTAGGATGGTGGAATGGCGTCGGTGACAACGATGACGAAATTTCAAGATCGCGAGGATCTTGATCTATCGAAGGATTGTCACCGACTGTACGAACGTGGTGCATAAGCACGTGAGAACACCAGTGCGCTAGAATGTACACAATTTTTCAAACTAGTAGCTTTGAAATTAATATTAACATAAAAATATTACGACATGAACGAAAAATAATGGCGAGTGAATGAATAAGAACAGAATAAAACTGACGTTTTAAAAAAATAAATAGGAGAATAAAGATGTGATTCATGCGAGTAGTGGTGCTCTGTTAGAACGAAAGGCACTTTAAGGGACATGTTAAAAAGCAACAGGTGTGCAAGCCCAAAAGCATAAATTGAAACATTAATAATTTAATGCAAATACTCACAGGGACCATTGTTACTGTCGGGGGCTGCGAAAAGGAAATTTTATTTAATTGTCTTATTTTATTTCAAGGATATTTATCTATGGTAATAATTTATTAAATGATGTGGCTTTTTCAGGGGATCTACTTGTTAATGCAAATAAGTTGAAATTATTGGTGTAGAGTGTTTCTCGGCTTTCGGTCGAGATTTGCACTGTTAGGAAAAACCGACACCAAAAAGAAATGTAACGTTGTCTTGAATAATAAGTACTTTAAATAGAGTCGAGACGGTTTGTAAAAGTGAATTATATAGCGGCGGTTGATTATTAATAAAGGGGGATGTTTGAGTAGGTAAATTTAAATTACTTTGTTGCTATAAGGATCAGACTGGAACGTGGCGCGGTGGCGTACTGGTACGGGCAAGTTACCCGGTAGAAATGATATATATGTACAGTTCTTTGTGATGAAAATTTGCCCTAAAATGTTACGTTGGGTTGGATTTCCTTAGAAAACGGACAATAGCGTGAAATACTGTGAATAACGAGTGGTTTTACGGCACACAATTATTAAATCATTGATATATTGTCCTCGCTAACCCTTAGTCTGAAGTGGCAACCAACCTCCTGCACGGAGGAAGACATGAATATACATTTTCCCTTTCCATGAACACTCGAATATGACGTTTTTTTTTTTCCGAAAGTATTTGACAATAAATTTTAGAAAACAAAAATTTGGTTTTTGAAAGCGGAGGCGAAACTTTATATTTTAATATGTAGAATATTAAATTATTTTGAGCAGATTACTTTTATTCTCTTTAAGTTTTAGTTTAGTTTACTTCGTGACTTTACCCCAATAAAATCGGAATGTTCGTGGTAGTTTCATCTTCAATAAGTAAGAAAGTTGTAGCTTAGATGTGGAACAAAACTTAACCAAACAACGCGACATCTTGTCCCAAGAACTGGCAACTACAAACTTCGACGCGTGATTGAATAAATACAATTGGGAATCAAAAACAGACTTTTTTACTGCAGAAACAGTAATACAAAACATACATACGACATTACATTTTTAGTTACACAAAAGTTCAAAAGACTCCCTACTGGGATTTTCGTATAATTTAACGTGATTGCAAATTCTTGAAAATGTCAATTAGAACCAAACTTTCTAAATTATCTGATATTCATACAATTTTTTTATTTATGTTATTTTTAGAGTGGAATAAGAAAGCGGCAAATTCTTGTTGAACTTGATATGCGATCTATAAACATCCTGCAATAATTTTAAATAAATTTTTGATAAAATATCAGTAAGAATTTCTTCAGATGATATAGCTTTAGATGGTGATTTTATTTTGAACATAAATTGTGATTCAGTTCCACAATATATAGCGAAATTAAAATATGTCACAGTTTCTACGATAAGGTTTCTTCGATACTTCAAGGTTTTCCTGCTAGAATGGCAACGTAAAAACTTACCCGTCGCAATGCCAGTCACCAAATCTGATAAATATCTACGGTTTACATGATTCGGAAATTTGGGCGCAACAGTCGATTTCTCGTTACACTGAATTGAACTGCACGAGTTTGAAATTTAAATTTACCACACAAAACAATATTTTCCGCCAAAAATGATTGAAAATCTATGTACAGTGTGTCTGTAAAGCCTAGAATAAATTTCATAAAAAAACTCAAGAATGAAATTTGACATTCACACAACTCGATTTGATTTTTGTAGGTTATGTTCTAGGAGCTACTCTGAAAAAATGGAAACACTATTTTTTATCAGTAGGTACTTCAACAAAGGAGAAAACATACAGCTTTGATTTTTCTTATATATTTTTAGATGTCCTAACTAGCCTCTTATTAGGCTTTATAAGCATATTTTAATATTGAAATTTTAATATAGATTTGCAAAAAATTTCAATAGGGTTATTTTAAGATAAAATTGATGCACAATATATTTTCTTTTGCGTTCTTGAGAGAATAATAACGCTAACCTCAATTCAAAATCCAGAATTACATTGTGGCTATTCACGAAGGTTAACTCTCAAGTGTTTTTTTTCATTGTGCGTTAACTATACCGGGTGTCTGGAAAATGGCGAATTAACTCCCCGCTACGTTCTTAGCAATCAACTGGTGAGTGTAGTAGTAAAATAGTAAAAAAAATACTTCTCATATTTTCGTGGAGTTATAATGATTTCAAAAGTGGTGTTTAAAAGTGATATCATTTGCCAAAATCGGTTTTATTTTAGCAGGTACTAGCCCCGCCCACCCGCCGTCTCTTCTTTTAGAGGGTATCTCAATTGCCAAAATCACTCTTATCTTATAAGGTGCTAGCCCCGCCCACCCACCCTCTCTTTTTTTGGAAGGTATGACATTTGCCAAAATTGGTTTTACTTTACCAGCTATACTACGCTCGCTCAGCCGCTCTCTGTTTTCTTAGCGGCTATGTCATTTCCTAAAATGGATATTATTTTAGCAGGCACTAAGCCCGCCCACCCACCTTCTCTTTTCCTAGAGGGTATGGCATTTGCCCAAATCAGCATTATTTTAACAGGTACTAGCCCCGCCCACCCATCCTCTCTTTTCTTAGAGGGTATGTCATTTGCCAAAATCAGTCGTATTATAGCAGGTACTAGCCCCGCCCACACACCCTCTCTTTTCTTAGAGAGTATGTCATTTGCCAAAATCCGTTTTACCTCATCAGGTGGTGACCCCGCCCACCCGCCCCGTCTTTTCTTAGAAGGTATGCCATTTCTAAAAATTTTGTTATTATTTTTTTGAGACTCCCGAAACCCGCGTACATAACGTACTGAAGAGTTAATCCGCCATTTTCCAGACACCCGGTATGTGTTGCAATATTTTATGGCGAGATGAGTAAATGTATTGTATTCGCTTTTTTATCTGACCAATGAGGATCAAACAATTACTCTCTTAATATTACAATGAAGTTTAAACCTCGGAAACTTGAATCACCGAGATGAGTAAATGTAATAAGCTTTATTTTAGTATTAACAAATCTGGGTTATAGTGTACAGAGTGTTATAAAAATTCTAAACTATTACAATTTTCAAATACTTAGGTAAATTTTTTCATGTAAAAACACCCTGTCTGGTATTACAAAATTCTTTTTATCGTCTATCCATAAAATATTGCACCACAGGTGTGACCTTGTGTTTTTTTGTGAATTCCTGGATAAAACATCTCAAGAAAATCAGAAAATTTTTCGTCGAATTTCAGAAATAAACATTCTTATAAAGATTAGACAAAAGTTAATCAGACCATGTAAAAATGTATGTTATTTCATTAAAAAAACTCCTCAAAAACACAACATTCTATATACATGAAAATAATTTTGGGTCATAAATACATAACGGATGATTAAGAAGTTTTCAAAGTAAGGTAGGCTCTGGAAATATTTTTCATTTCTTTGATCAAACCTGACACGTCAAGATTTAATTAAGCTTGCCCAAAAAATTTCGAATAAGGTTACTGGCGCAACAATTCGCTCTCTCCACAACAAATCACTTAATCCATGACTTCTTATTCTGATTTTAACATCTCCAATTTGTTGACATTGACACTTGATCGGTTTAATCAAAGAAATGAAATTTGAAAATTTTTTGAACACCCGTTACATATCTGAATAGAATAGAATGAAATTCGATTATAAATAAAATCAACTTGTTCGAGCGTCTTTGTTGAATTTCGCGCCTAAATTTTCGATCGAATTTATTTCAGACTTTGCGAACACACTGTAAATCTATAAATCCAGTTTAAAACTTAGTGCAACAAATTCTAAAAGAATTTTTACAATCAAAATTTACGGACTAGCACTTTCTACCAACTTCCTTGGTTTCAAGAAATCTAGCGCCTCTACAACTAACTAAGCCCTACCTGTGTTAAAGTCGAGTGCGAACTCTTCGAGCTCATTCCCCTTGACTATGCTATAAATCAGTTTCCTCGAAAGTGGCGACTCGGCCTCGATGGAAGTCGACAGCGGCGAATGAAGCTCCACATTTTCCGGGACAACTTCCGAATAAAACTGTTTCTTAAAAACCGGCATCGACCTATCAATCACTTTAACGTGAACCGTAACATCAGTTCTGCAGGGAGTGATTCCTGGAAAAGCACCCTCAGAACGACTTTCCTCATAATCATAACACTCACCTTTATCGTAGGCAGCAATCAGCAGTTCGTACTCGCGATTATGCCCTTCCAAATTCTGCTTGATTTCAATATCTCCCGTTTCTCTTTGAACCTTGAACAGCTCCCCATGGCCCTTGATCAGTTCATAACGCACTTCGCCATTTTCCGCGCTGTCTAAATCGATAGCGTGGACTTTGGCAATCGTGCTGCCTTTTTCGTCGTCTACGGAGACCACGGCGTAGTAGGGAAGGTTGACGAACATGGGGCAGTTGTCGTTGATGTCGAGGATGGTGACGTTGACGATCACGTGGGCCACTCGAGGCTTGTCCTTGTCCACGTGCTGGCTTCGGGCTTCAATGATGAGCTCGTACTTGTCTTGGACTTCCCTGTCGAACTTGATGCCCGTGGTGCGGATCACCCCGGACGTAAGTCCAATCGTGAACATGTTAGTCGGGTTGAGTATTTTGAATTCTAAGTACTCGTTTAAGGCACTTCCTAGCACGTTCACCACGCACACTGTGGTGATTTTTGTCGAGTTTTCAATGATTGACCCTTCGTAGAGAGACTTTTGAAAAATAAGGCCAGAGTTGTCCGATTCTTCCACCCTGATGAAGACTTTAGTCACGCTGGAGAACTTCCCGTCGGATACGCGCACGTGGAGTTTGTAGAAATGCTTCATATTGTCTGGTTGTAGTACTGTGACGAGACCGCTCTTCGAATCGATAGCGAAAACCCCAAATTTGTTCCCTTCGATTATGTCGAACCTCAGTTTAGTACTCTCGGGACTATCTGGATCCGTAGCATTCACTTGAACCACAGCCACGTTTTTGTAGGTGGGGAGGAGAAGTGTTACATTGTAAATGCTCTCCGTGAACTTGGGAGGGCAGTCGTTCACGTCGGTGACAGTGATATCCACTTTTGCTGTGGTTTCGGATGTTAGTTTAGGGTTACCACGATCCGACACCTGGACGTGAAAAGTGAAACGATTGTGTGTCTCGTGGTCGAGAAGGCGGATGGTACGGATAGCACCGGTGGATGAGTCGATTTGGAAGTACCGTCGAGGGAGGATGTCGATGATGTCATAGTGTAATAAAGCGTTTGTTTCGGAGTCGGCATCGAAGGCCTTAATAACGAGTGGCTCGCTGTTATTGGTCAGGATGAGAGAACTTATGGGTGCCGCTTCGCTGATGGTACCTGAGTAATTTGCTTGGAGGAAATGCGGGACGTTGTCGTTCTTGTCGAGGATGTGGATGATGACGTTGCATGTGGCGGAAGCGGAGGCCTAAAGATCAATGTTACAAATTGACTTTATTCAGTGCGCATGCGCGTTTTAACCTCAATAGAGGACTATTTAAGGATCATGACATTTTTGACATTTTTTTAATATATCAAGCAAGCGCCAACAGCGGCAACAGGTGTCAGTGATATGGATTATACGTTAGCAGCAGTGACATTTCCGGTTTTTATGTTTGCTTAAGAGTAGATAAGATATAATTTTTTGTTATAGGTGTCCTCGCTAAATGTTATATTCTACTTGTGAATAAGGCCAAGTAGTAACTATAAAACATTTATTTGTTTTATGTGCAAAAATAAAAATCGCTCGGGTAGTGTGTGCAGTCTTAAATTTTCCTAGTTTTTGTCGTATTATTGATATGTGTTGTTTTTGTTACAAATAATGCTGTCAGTATAAAATCTGACAGTGGTAATTAAGCAAAAATTAAATTAATAAAATCTTTATAAAGAGAATCACAATGTGAGAAGTCCAATGGAACAAATTAGAAACTCGACTGCTCACTAATTCGATTGCTTACAATTATTCCGACGGACTCTATATAGGTAGTTAAACTTAATGCCTGGAAATAAGTTACGTAATCTGATTTTTGTCACAAATTTGCACATTTAAATTATTTTCAGTGTTCACACTTGCTGTTAAAGTTCGAATTAACAGTGATGCACGCTGAGCATTTGTTGTAACAGAGTATAAAGAAAAATTTAATGAACGTTTGAATACCTCTATGTTAGTTCCCGAATATTAGTTCGCCAATTGTATTAGAATGATTTTGTTGAACATCTAGTTTAGAAATATAAGTCCCTCGTTTTTAGCTGTCCGTTTGTCGGCGATTTTATTACACAGATAGTTTCTAAAACTACAGAATTGATTACTCTAAAATTTTGGATGTATTTTAATGTTGTTGTATACATGGCAAAACGCTAAACAATATTTGTTTAGTCGTCGCTTCCAAAAATGGATGATAACTTAAATTTTATGTGTGGCTTAATGACGTACCCATATTTTTAATCTCCAGAAATTGGTTCTCGTAAAAAAAGTGTGCAATGAAATTTTACAACTTGTTTTACAATATACAGAACGCACTTCTTTGAAAGTTTGATGACGTCATCTGTTTTTTCTATTTTGGTTATTGCTATTTTTCTAATTGTCTGCATCGGTGACTAAAAATGGCCCACTAACTCAACGACATATTATTAAGTTCAAAGTCTATGTTTGAAAAAATTGGTCGAAAGTTATTTTGACAGAACTCTCCACACTCCTGAAGTACAACAAAACAATAAGCTTTTTTGAAAAACTATACAGGAGTATAAAATTTGATTTTGCGAATTTTATTTTTATTTTTTAACAAAATCCCTAGAAGTTAAAATAAAGGTATGTATGTAAAGAAGTGTGCTACGCGTATGTTTCAAATGAGTTTTTCCTTTACAAAATTTTGTGATGACGTTATCCAGATTTTTGCAAGAATACATATACCAATTTGAATAGGTGCAGTGTAATATGTACTAGTAATAACAGTATTGTGTTCACCCTGTATAAGGAGTTTTAATAATTATGAATGCAGTGATAAATTACAAGTTTATACTTGTGGTGTCTTGCACATTTTCTATAAGATTTATTCGACAAAATTTTGAGATGACGTCTTCAATTTTTTGAGGGGGATAAACAGATATGCTTTGATTACAAATTTACCATGCATAGGATAACCTTAAAACGACTGCACGATTTTAGATCATTTGATTTTGCAGTGTCAAAGTTAAATTGCAAATGTTATATACTTTTGACTTTTTTTCCAAAAATCTGGACATGCTGAAAAACTCAACATGGATTCATACACCACAAGTTCAGGAGTATCTTTTTTTTTTATAAAAAATAGAAATAAATTTACTACTGTAAATTTTGGAGATGACGTCATCAAGCTGTCCAAAATTTGAGAACAATCAGACATACAGACAGATAGACAGTAGACAGATGGAAACGGGATACCTATTTCTTTGTAGTCTAGGATTATGAATGGTTGAGAACACATAAAAGTAGTCGACCGATGAACTCGATTACAATACTTCCTTAGCTTACGCCTGGGAGTAAAAAATCATTATTAACAAACTTTTAATTTTTGGTATACGACAGTTTGATGTTCACTTATAAAAACAAAATATCGATTAAATAGGTTTAGCCACTGGTTTATTTTTACGAATTTCAAAAAGTCTTGAGAGCCGCAGTAACAGCTACTAGCTCCACCCATCCTCCCTCTCTTTTCTTAGAGGGTATGTCATTTGCCAAAATCGGTCTTATCTTGGGAGGTACTAGCCCCGCCCACCCGCCCTTTCTTTTCTTAGAAGATATGTCGTTTGCTACAATCAGTCTTATCTTAGCAAGTACTAGCCCCTCCCTCCCTCCCTTTATTTTCTTAGAGGATATGTCATTTACCAAAATCAATCTTATCTTAGCAGATACTAGCCCCGCCTATACACGTTGTTCTCATTCTAACGATTTTATCTCTCTTCAATTGAGATCCACTGAAATAGAGGCAGGGGTGGGTGGGCGGGGCTAAATATGTGTTCTTTTGTTAAGTGAGAATGGGAACTAATAGAACGTATGCTGTTAAAAAAAACGTTAATCGTAATTTTTTTTGTTATACTACTTATCTGTTAAAACATTTATTTCTTATTTCTAGTACCTGTTAAGATAAAACTGATTTTTGGCAAATGACATACCCTCTAAGAAAAGAGAGGGTGGGCGGGCGGGGCTAGTAAAGAAAAATTAAACTTTGAACATTTCTGTCTTCTACATTTGGGCTTCAGGAAATTCAAAATTATTTTTACAGTCCTTAGCAAAATACGGCTTAGTGCGCCATTTTTGTTCCGCCCTGTGTAAGATCAAAATCAACCAATCATTAACTTGTATTAAAAAAGTCACTTGAGACAAGCAGCACAATGCTTCTTTACGGAAACGGAATCGTTCCAATATGTGGTGTTGTGCTCTAGAGGAACGGGAAGTTCGTTATAAACAACTACAGACCTTGTAGTTAATTTTCTAGTTCAATCATCACGTAATTTTTTTCAAAATAATTACCTGTCTAATAAAAACTGAAGCGTATTTATGCGGAAGCATTGAAAATGCCACGGTGACAAATTTTATCGGCAATTAACACCTTCAGGTACAGTGGAATTTGCAGAAAATATTTCATGAAAAACATAACTTTTAGAACAAAATGTATAGAGGTTAATTTACATCTGCACACAAATTGCATTTTTCTAGGCGATAAAACACCAAAATGCAGTTTTATCGATCTCAAACAGCGTTGCAATATTTTATCACCTTAATAATACATTTCATGGTTGGATTTTAAAATTTCTGGAGTGTTCAGTAGAACAGTGATTTGTAATATTATAATTTATAAGGCATGTCGATAACAAATAGTTGATGGAATTTTATTTGTCTCGACTGCTTTACATGAGTAAACAACAACTTATTAAGTTGAAGAAACAAAATCGTTCCATTAAAAAAGTGTCGTCATAACCATTGGGTCACTGCAATTTTGTCTGTAGAACTATTTCGTTTTTGGTTATTTTAATGATAAACAAATTATTAACTCTCTGTGTTTTGCGAAGCATAATTAACTGCACACTATTTTATTGTGCAACTAAATTTTATTTATGAAAAAAGGACATTGTTATTGGGGAAATTAATCATATTTCGAAATTGCTCGCTGTGGATAAATTTTACGTGTTTACCAAATAAAAGTGATGGAAAATTCGAAACCATAGATAATTAAGCTACAATACACAACATGCAAATTATTGACACCGCTTTCGTTAAAGCGAAATTAAATTAAATTGTGTAGTTAGTTGTATCATTTAAAATTACTATTCCAGAATTAAACACGTCGACACGGTGACGAGAAATTCCATTTTATAATTTTTGTCTAAATTTCAATTTTGATAAAAAACAAAATGTAGCACTTACCATATTGGTCGTTATCACAGTCAAGTTATAAATCTTATACATTTCGTAGTCCAAGTACTTCTGCGTAGTTATAACTCCGGTACTCGGACTGATCAAGAAAGCACCATCAACATTCCCATCGATGATCTCAAACTGCAACGAAGAAGTACTCCGCACAGTCAAATGCGCCACATAAGCTCCCAACGGCTGGTCTTCATATATTTCCGCAGCCACTTCTTTCTGTGTGAACCTAGGAGGCGCATTGTCAGCCATCGTAAGCATTATATGCGCAGGCACCGAAGACGAAAGAGCAGGCTGACCGTGGTCTGTCGCTTTTATCCTCAACATGTACTCCGCATTCGTGGTCATATCCAGTTCCCGAGCCACGGACATGATCCCCAAGTCTGGATCTATGGTGAAAGCGTTGCCGAAATTACCCGAAATGATGGAATAGGTGATTCGGGCGTTCTCGCCCTTGTCGTGATCCACGGCGAAGGCCCGAAGAACGGCGCTGCCAACCTAACAAACGCAAATATTAAGTAACAACAATGGCGCCAACAATAAGAACTAACCACAGCCGATTCGAACACCTTCCCCTCCAGAATCTGCTCGGAAAAGTGCGGCACGTGGTCGTTGTGGTCATGGACTATAATCTTCACTCTCGCGTAATTTCTTTTAGCGGGGGTTCCCCCATCACGGACCATCACCGTCAAAATGTGCTCGTCTAAGCTTTCTCTATCCAGATTGTCCGTTAAGTAGATGACGCCGGTGATGGAATCGACCTTGAAGGTTTGCAAAGAGATTAAGTTTCTTGCAGAGTGTAGACTATAGATTAGTTTGGTGTTGTCGTCTTTGTCTGTTGCACGTAGACGTAGGATTTCGGTTTCTACGGGTACGGCTTCGGAAATTTCGACTTTGTATAAGGTTTCGGAGAATTCCGGTCGGTGGTCGTTTATATCAATTACTGATACATTCAACTGCGTATAAACAGTGTGTACAGAATCGGTTACGCTGATGTTGAGGGTGTACTCGTTCTGAGCCTCGTAATCTAATTTGTGGGCGAGGAGGATGCTGCCGGTTTCTCGGCCTATGTAGAAGTCGTTTCGAGAGTCGCCACCTGGTGGGAATTGGATTGAGTTAGGGAAAAAATACATAGTAGTTTAGACTCAATTAATCTTTATTATTTCCCCTCTGCACACTTAATTGCGGTAATTCGAAACTGAGACCACAATACCCAATTGGCGTTTATTTAAACTGAAAGCCTTAGTGGATCAAGGTGTTAAGTTACGAAAAATTAAGTCTCCAGAAATTTAATTTGAAATACGTTTTTGTCGCATTATTGAGTAGAAATATATACCACATTTTTCCAATAGGTGTTTTTCTATCTGAATCTCATATACTTACTAATTAGTTTCATTACCTCTATTGAATAAGAAATCTTTTGGCCTTTTGTACGAGCCTATTTCTTCTATAAGAGATCTCCCTCCTTTTGGATTTTTCGACAAATATAAACAAATTATTTTCGGGAAATTTGTGGTGAAGTATGCACGGATGTGAGGAACAACCCAAACAACGTTTCAATTTCGCATAAACTTTTAATTAGAGATGACGAAGTTTAAATGACATTGAAAGATTTAGAACTTGCGAGACGATTTTTTTTTATTAGAAAGAACTTTGTGTTGTTTAAGGTATGATGGTATTTCTGAATTAACAGATTCATGCGGCTGCTTAATACTTTTAAAACTCTTTCCAGAAAGTTGAGTTGGCTGGCTATTGATAAACGGGAAGTTTTCTTTGTACGATTTATTGTAAAGATTTAAATCTAATTTGATTATTAAAATTTTAAATATCTCTTTGCAAAAATTGAAAATACTTTTGTTTGTTTAGTGAGGGCCTTCTATGTGTAAACCATGGGAACTTCTGCTAATAGAAAACCACAACTAATCTGGATTTGTGAAATATTTTTGTCGACAATTGTAATTAAATTCACTGCGATTGTTCTTGTCTTCATAGTTGGCGGTTGTGTCAGTAATTTGTAAAATTGTTATTGCAACGTCATTTATTAGGGATACACAAAATTATATGCATTAATTCTTATTTTGTTCACAGTTTTACACAATTTTTCAAAAAATATAAGTTTATAAATAACATTTTTAAATATACAGAGTGAGTCACTAAGCGCTCGGTCATCAACATCTCATTAATTATAAGACAAAGGTATTTAATTTTTCTTAGCAATGTTCTCAAAAATCGCAATATTACGTTATTTTTAAGATGTGTGGCTATATTTTGTGGAAAGATAATAAATAAAAATACGCACTTTGTTATCGTATTAAAGAAATCAAATTTTAATAGACAGATTGTTCATAAAAAAACTAAATCGGTACAAATTTTAAATACTGATATTTCAGATTTTTTAAATTGACTAGCTGCATTTTATGAATGCATCTTATTCTATTTTTCGTTTTCTTTCTTCTAATATGTCGGTTTACAGTAAAAAAAGGGGGAAAAAAACTGAAATAACTATATATTTATTGAAATTTATTATAATTTAATTTAAACAATATATTAAGACTTAATCGATTTATACCACAAAAATGTGCGTATCTTTATTTATCTTTCACTTTTATTAATACTGTGGCAACACGAACAAGTCAATCAAAATATGTAAAAATATGTAGGGTATTCCTTACGAAATACCTGAGTTGCATGTCATTGCTTAAAAATAGAACACTCTGTATAGTTGAAAATAATTTTAGTGTATGATTATCAAAGAACGGTACGATTTTAATTTTTAATTTTTTTTCATTTTCAATATTTAAATAGATATCGAGAAACGCGCGTTTACTGACTCCCCCTGTATGTATTTTTTTAAATCCCAATTGGTTTATTTTCGACGACTTTTGACACATAGTATTCATATTTTGGAGTAAACAGTGACAAAACAATTTAGTTATAACATTTTTAAAGCAAAGACTTTTTAAGAGCTTGTAATGCCTCCTTACAAATACAAAAATTAGTACAGAAGATGTAACACCCTTTAAAACACTAGTGTCACGGATGTCTCAATGTTGTGATCTAAATTTAATTATTTATTGTAAATTACTGTGTATTTACCAAGGTCATTTTTGCAGCTTTCGCATTTCCGTTTGCCTGTCTGCTGGTTTCTATAGGGTGATTCTGAAATGGCGCACTAAGACAAGTCTAAGTTCGAGAAAAATCATTAAAAATTGCTTGTGTCAATTTGGCGTCCATTTACAAAAACAAAATATCGACTTTTAGATAGATAAAATTAGCCAGATTGTCAGATTCATTCGAACAATTTTTAAGTTTCTTGGAATATTATAAAATGGAAAAAACAATGGATATAGACGTTATATATTTCCAAAATTATTTTAAATAATGAAAGTCCGATTGACTGTATGTACCCAACACTATGTAATGAATTAATATGGTCATAGATATCTAAAAAAAATATTAAACTTTTAGGGCCACAATTGGGCCCAAGGATTTTTAAAACTATTTTTCTTTGCTCAATGAACAGTCCTTAAGAATGTGTCATGAAGATGGTGCGCCATTTTTGAATCACCCTGTATATAATTCATTAAATCACTATTTAAAATCCGTATGTTTAAGCGATATTTCTATAAAAACTGATGCAGGGATTTTCGAAATTATTATTGAACAAAAAAAAAGGCAAACTGCTGAGTGATTTTTTGTGAAACGAGTGGTTTTTTCGCAATCATGTTATGGCCAATCTCTATGGAGATGTAGACGATAAAAAATCAATCAAAAATTGTCCAAAGTAAAAGACCAGTGAATTTACTGTGTTAGTCGTAGTCTTATGTCTTCAGTTCACTTTAATAAGTTTTTGTAGTTTATTGTCGCTAAATATACAGGGTGAGCAATTGAGTGCGCGTTCCTCAATATTTCATTAATTATAAAAAACAGAAAAAAGTCTACGACCAAAGTTGTACGGTTCTTGGAGAACTATACTCCAAAATTATTTTCAACTCTACAGAGTGTCCTGTTTTTAATGCGTAACACACGATTTAGTTTTTTTAAAAGATACACCCTATATATTTTTACATATTTTGATTGACCACTTCTTAGGTTTTACAACCGCAGTATATTTTTTTTATTTTTTTGTAATGTAAGTGCTCACAAAAAATCGCAATAGGGTTATTTTTAAAGTCTACCTTACAATATTTTGTCGAGGGATAAATAAAAGTACACGATTTGATGTGGTATGCATGAAAGTACATTTTCCTATACAGAGTGTCCATATTTTTTTTTACTAATTTAAAATTTAATTGATACCACAACAAAGGGGGTGCCTTTATTTATCCTTTCGCAAAATATTGTAATGCAGATTTAAAAAAAAAAAACGTATTGCGATTTTTTCTGAACCCCTCAACTGACAAAAAATTTCAAGAAAAACTGAAATAACTCAGCAACGCCGCTTCGGAAGAGGCTAATGAGAATATGCAGAAATAGATAGGGAGTCTCATTTAAAAAAAGTCTTAAAAACACTCTGTACCATCATCTCTATAATAATTATTGAGATATCAAGGACCGCGCTTATTGACTCACCCTGTATACACAAACTGTAATTACAACAGTATACCATGAAGGAACAGAATGTCTCAGTTTGTTAGGAAAATGTTTCGATCATAAGAAATAAAGTTTTTAATAGAAATGGTTATTTTGTGTATCTCTAATGCAAAAGTGATGATCAAAATCAGTAAAACTGTTTCAGCAACATAAAATTTTATATCAGGTCATTGCTTATTTTATTACTATTCCACTGATCACAACTCAAATGATTTCTTATCATATTTATATTCTAGAACAACCACGGTTAATGCCCCCGTCTTCAATAAATTGAATAACCTGTTAACTCATTTTCACAGGTAGACTGTGCTATTCTTGGACTAAATTAACCTATTCCGTAATTACTTCCTGATTCATAACCTACCTGGGACTCCCTCTAACGATCAGTGCGAAGAGAGACGACTGGAGTATTTGGTCTACGCCAGAATCGAACGATCTTTCGTTTTGTTTTTAACAACAAAGATTTTTCAAAAACTTGTATTTATTACCTGTTTTCACCAAGTTTAAACAACCTTTGATCCATTGTACAACACTGTAAAATTTTATTTTGCCGAATAAAAATAACAAGCAAATTGTACAAGATTGAAAACGTTGGTATGTGAAATATGTGGTCGTACAAAACATAAAAACGAAGTGTAATTTCCTGGAAACGCCTAAAATAAAGGTTATTGTGATAAATTTTAGCCCGTAGTCGACAGAGAAGGAAACAACAAAATTAATTGAGCACTCAAAGTACTTAAGTACGACACGTGCCACTGTTACTACCGAACTCAAGGTTCAGTTTTCATCAGCACTCACGACCTACCCCTATGCAGAAAAACGCCCCCGTATCAGTAGCACAGGTGCTCGTGTTTACTTTTCAACCTTCGCTTCCTTGCCAAAGCTGCAACCCTACTTACCGACGATGTCATACCACAAAGTATCGTTATCTTTATCAGCCGCTTCGATAAACGTAACCAGAAACCCGATTTCGTCGCTTTCCGTCAACTTGACTGGCTGCGGTGGCTTCGTAATAACAGGAGCATGTTTCGATTTTGAAGGCACTGGAACAACGTGAACCGACACTTTGCAGATGCTGCTTTTAGACGCGTTTCCTCCATCAGTGGCTCTTATCTAATGATAACAGCATTAAAGCGGGATGTTTTTGTGTGAAAGATTAACGTCTTACATTCAGTTCGTACTCTTGTCCCGGCTCGAAGCCTTTTTGTGCGTACACCATCCCGGTCGAATTGTCTATTTTGAACTTGGATTTTCCCTTGCCGGATTTTATGCTGTAGCGGATCTCGGAATTTGCGCCGGCGTCGCGGTCGTAAGCTAGGACCTGGGTGAGAAAAGCGTGAAAACAACGTGAGCGGACGGTAAACGAATTTACGGTACGTCCAGAGAAACTCAAATGTGGGTGCACGTAGCATGCTGCACTTGATGACCACTGATCACATGCATTAAGTGATGCAATGAGTGAGCGAAGTTATTTCCATTCGATTTAGTTTGAAATAAAATAAAAAGGGTTGACACAACTCATGCAATTTAGTCCGGAACTAAGCGCTCGGTTCGTACCGAAAATAAAGTATGTAAGGGCTTTCAATAAAATGGTCAACAAATTCGAAGTGGAGAGAGTTTTTGATGTTGCCTGCGAGGGTCTAATTCACTTGCCCTTTGCGAAGTGTTAAATTTGGCAAAATTGATTTCATGTTATTCAGTTTGTTTTAAAGTGGCTTTTTTCCGATTCCACTACAAAGAATTAGCGAAAATAAAATCGTGTTGGAAATACGCAAGTGCTAACGAAGTATCATAGAGCACGGTTTAAAAATCACTCTATTTGATGGATTATTCACAATAAATCTTAACTAGGTGAATTATTTAATTAGATTGGTCCGAATTTTCAGGAAAATGGTAAAATACAGTGGCATGATCGAAAAACAAAGTCATCTAGTACGCAGTGAAATTTATCTTTAAAATCAAGATGTAGGCATTTCAGCTAGTTGACACTTTATTTGACAGTTATTTGACCCATAACCGTTAAAGTGAAAAAGGAAGGCGTTGGTGTTGCCAACATAATTTTTTAACATTAAATTTCATAGGCTGCTGGACGACTTTTTTATTCGATGATATGGTGTTACTTAGTTGTTTAGTCTACGTCACATTTCCTGCGTCTTTGAAAAAGTCGGACAAGCAATAATCGCCCTTCTTATTTGTAGGAATACCGAAGGGTCAAATTTTGACGTTTCCACGATTTTTAACATTTCATCGCAGTTATGTGGATAATCAAAATCTAAAATACAATTACAATTTTCAACTCTTGATATTTCAACACAGGCTGTTCTATTTGAAAATTGAAATACAGAAATTTCAACATTGTAATGTTTTCGAATTTTTATATAAATATTTCGTTTAAAATTCTTTTTGTATACGAAAACGCACCACAAAATATTGTGACCTAGCTTTTAAACTGTACGTTTTTTGTGAATGTTGTTAAAAAAAAATCAAGAAAATTTAGGTTCTAGCCTTTAATAAAAGTAGCAAAATTTGGTGGAATTCCATTAAATTTAATAAAAAAATCTAACACCTCAAACTTTTTATTCAGTTATAATTATAATCGAAATAATGGACGCAGTTCGGTATAAACATACATATTTCAGAAATATTAAAACTGAACCATATAGAGAAAAACCCATGTTTTTACTAAGACATGATCCCGTCGAACTTATTCTCGAGAGTCGCTGGTCAAGAGCAAGAAACTGGAAATATCGTACACTGTACTAAAATAAATTGTATTCTCCAATGTGGGTTTGGGTTTCCATTTGACATTATCCAGTCTTTTTTAAGATGTCTGTGCACCGTTGGTTATCTTTCATCTCAGAACAAAAAGAATAATTTTTCGCCCACATTTCAGTTTTTTTTCAAAGCGAAGGACTAGATATTTTAGATAATTTGTACATTTTACAATATTTTCTAGAGTTATTTATGAACATCTTCTGAGATATTACACTTCAAATATCGATCCAATTTTTTTACTGATTTTGGGATGTCGTCGCTGATATTTGTTTTTCAGTTTCTCCGAATTTTCATTTTTTGTTAAGTCGAAACAATTTTATTGAAATTGTGAAGACAAAATTCAGAGAACAATTATTTATGAAATGTTATTGAATTTCGTAAGATGTTTGCGTTATCATGAGGTCATAAAAAAAAGAACAGAATATATATGTATTTAGCGTGAAAACAAAAACAGTTTAATTATAAGGAGGAAGAAGAGATTATACAATACAACTTCTTGCGTATTAAGAAATGTTGATATGAAATAAGATAAAGTCTCATTGTTTCATGCAAAAATTCAATCCCCATTAAAATTTTTATCACTTGGCAATTTGAATTTAATTTAAGGTGAACTTAATGGTAGTGGAAATTGTTGTTAGATGTTTGCAATTTAATAAAACATTAGGAAGAATGAATATTTAAGAAGGAAACGTTATGGTTTATCTTCTGGCAGTTTCATGTAAAATTAAAAATTTTACCACGTAAGTTGTATTAAAAAGTATTAGATGTATTACATTATGAAACAAGTAATTCTGAGAGAAATCAGTACATGAAAGTTTGGTTTTACTTCAGTACTTGAAAATTCTTTTAATGTATACAAAAATTTTAAAGTAAAAAAGCCACACATGTAGTGTAGATTATAATTAAAAATGAAAATAAATCTAGTGGAATATAGGAAGCATTTGCTTAAAACTCACGGCATGTACATTTATTAAAAATTCCAAAGGGAGTGAACACAAAGTTCCCTTCACATATAATTAGCGATGTAGTATGCGAAGAGAGTGTTAATTCTTTTTATTCCCTTGGAAATTGTGTTATATCTCTGCTGTTTGTTCAAAATTGAAAGCAATCAGTGCTAAATACACAAAACTGCAGTTAGTTCAGTAATTCAACTAAAATATTATTGCAAATTATTTCATTTTATCAGCGCATTTGTATAGCGAGGTTTTCGACAATTTTTTAATTACGTAATTTAAACAGTGTTACAACTTTGATGTTTTTTAACGAGGACAAATTATTTGAAATGTTTATTTGATGTTGTCTCATTAATTCATAATTCTTCATAAAGTTCCCTGAAATTGTTATTAAAATTGCAATTCATGGAATGACTGATTACGATTTGATTGAAATAAACCTCATTATATGATTTAGTTTCGGTGCAACATATAGAAATTCTAGAGGATCGGCAGATTTATTTTTCATCATTAACGTAATTCATTCGCTTCTGCAAATAATATCCATAATAGTCATAAAGTGGAAGATTGCGGTTCGTTATCATAACAAGTAACTACTTTTTTTTAATATCTAACATTATTTTCAAATGAGCATTAAGTATAATGTGTTACATATATACAGAGTGTCCCACCGGGTTTGCATCTTGAGAACGGATAGAAATATTGAAATTCTGTAAATGCCATTGTTTTTAGCTTGTAGAGTGAAGCTTAATCTAGTATATTGCAAATATGACGCATATATGGTGTCAGCGTCGAGACGCAAAGATATTTCGTTCCACTGCAAGATATATTTGTTTTAAGGGATTGTGATAGATCATGCGTTAACGATACACAAACACTTGTAATTCAAGGAAGGCGGTGGAAAAAATCCAAAATTTCATAAGGTCGTAATGTACACAAAAGTGTCTTTAGTTGAGTTTCAAAGGTGCTCGACATATTCCCAAATTTCATAAGCGTTAATGAAAAATTTTGGTATTGAAAAAGTTATTTAAAAATTTCCAATAAATTCTGGGATATAGCTTTGGACGTGTTGTTTCCAAAAATTTGGCGGCTTCTGCGTCCGGGGCAAGATTTATTAGAAATATTAGAATTGAAATGCAATTAAAAAAAAATCAAGAAACTGTCGTATGTCAAAGGGTAATTCTTGAAAAAAATGGTAGGAGTCATCGAAGAAATGAGACCGAAAATAAATTCTGGAATGTGAAATGTACAAGTTCCGAAGGTGTTCGAAAAATTTCAAAACTTTCATAAGGGTTATTGAAAAATTTTGGTTTTAAAAAAGTCATCTAAAAAGCCTTAAAAAATTGTGGGATATACAGCGTGTTATTGAAAGGTACGTACAAAATAAAATCGGCAGTTGGTCTCGAAGTATGGGTGCTAAAAATTGAAAATAGTTCGGGTAAAAGTGTTCCCCTTTTAGAGATAAAAATTATTAAAATTTGTTTATTGTTTATTACTAATGTCCAATTCGTTGTACGCCTCTGATCATCTCTTGTTTCTATAGCAACATTTAGTCTTGACAAAAGTTTTATTGTTACACAATTAATTTTACCTATTTATCCTTCAGTAGCGTCTAAAAAGGTTGGATAAGGGTTAATTTTCCCCTTATACTTTTAAAAATAAGTTTTTCAGACTTCTTAGACTTCGCGAAGAATTGTCAATTTTGTTGTACGTACCTTTCAATAACACCTTGTATGTTTTCGACGTGCTAATTCCAAAAATTTAGTGCTTTTACAATCCCGGGGTAAGATTTTAGACACATTCGGTTTTAAATGCCATTTAAAAAAAATCGAAAAAATAATAAAAACTGTCGAAGAAATGAGCCGAAAGTAATTTTTGGAGGTCCAAATGTACAAGAAAATATCTTCAGTTAAGGGTCGAAGGTGGTCGAAAAATTTCCAAATTTTCATAACCGTTAATCAAAGATTTTGGTTTTGAAAAAGTTGTCTAAAAATCCCCACTAAATTTAGGGATAAAGCTAGATTTTAAAGTGTTGATTTCAAAAAGTTGGCGGTTTCAGCCCTCGGGGCAAGATTTTATAAATACTCGATTTGAAATGTAATTAAAAAAAATCAAAAAACTGTCGTATGTCAAAGACAGTTCTTGAAAAATGGGAGGAGTTATGGAAGAAAAGAGGTCGAAAGTAAACTTTGGAAGGCAAAATGTTCAAGACTCGAAGGTGGTTGAAAGATTTCAAAATTTTCATAAGGGCTATTGAAAAATTTGGGTTTTTAAAAAAAAGTGATCTAAAAAGTCTTAAAAAAGTGTGGGATATAGTTTTCGATGTGCTGATTCCAAAAATTTAGCGTTTTTAACAGTCCCGGGGCAAGAGTTTAGAAACACTCGGTTTTAAATACAATAAAAAAAGCAAAACTGTCGAAGAAATGAGCTGAAAGTAACTTCTGTAGATCGACATGTATAAAAAAATGTCCTTAGTTAAGTTTCGCACGTAGTCGAAAAATTCCGATATTTTCATAAGGCCGGGGATTTTGAAACATTCTTATCATGAAAAATTGCCTAACAATCCTCAAAAAAATTTTGGGATATAGATTTTGACGTGGTGCTGATTGTACAAATGCAGCGTTTTTATGGTCCAAATGCAAGATTTTAGAAATATTGAGTTTGAAATATAATAAAAAAAAAGAAAACAACAAAACAAAACTTTAATTTCATTGGACCATTCTAGGACGAGTTATGGAAGAAATGAGACCGAAAGTAACTTCTGGAGGTAGAAGTGTATAAGAAAAAAATGTGTAAAAAAAGTCTACTAAGCAGGACCTCCATTGTTGGACCAATTTTCATTATAAATAATTTTCACCATTAAAAAATTGAACCATTTTCCACAGGCAGCAAAGAAAAGAAAAGTTATATTATTTATAGTTGTAACTAATACACCACATGTAAGGGTTTTATATCATTGCAATAATAATTTAAGAAATAGCTATTTGTGCAATAAGATAGGAAAAGTTACTTTTTTCCACATTCTAGACATGAGATTTTTTATCGAGACGAAGGTTCCAATTCCAATTTTTTAACCTTTGAAGTGTTTTGGGTGTTTCCTGCGGTAAAAATGTTGGAAGAGATGTTGCATCAGTATCTTTTGATGTTGAAGAGTTAGCCACACTGGCTCGCAATTCACTATTGCCCGAGAAATCAAAGGAAAAATATAAAAAGGCGTACAAGGAGTTCGAGAACAGGTGAAACATTTAAGAAGGTATCAGAAGTATCAATACAAGAACATGATGGAAATGTCTTCGATGCGAACGATAATTCACGTCGTAATTTGATTAGAAATTGCTCTAATTTTGTAGTTAACATATATAAAAATTAGATTTTGATATTGTTTTGTTTTATTTTTCCACTCTAGTTTGGAAAAGTTTCACTTTTGAATGTGGAAAACTTGAACAATTAACAACCGAATTTTACAAATATAAGTTTGCTTCCCGATTCACATTATTTGCAACATACTTAATTAAGCGTTCCCCTTCAAACTAAAAACAATGACGTTCACAGAATTTCATACTTCCATTCGTTCTTAAGGTATAAGGATTTTTATCTGAAACACCTGAGTATTGTTGTCTTTTTTAGATTTTTTTATGGAATGTTTCTAATTTTTTTTCATGGTTCAGGATTGTGTTAATTTCCTAATTTATTAGAGCGACTGGTGCTACAAAATCCGACTGTGTCTTAGTCAGACGATACCATTATTAGAAGAATGACCAAGTTTTACACAGAAAAATTACTTAAAACGAAATTTTACACGTTGATTAATTTTTGATTCATGTTTGAATAGAATTACTGCTGTTTACATAACCTTAGATGAAAAATGTTCTTGCCATACAATTTTATGGTCCACTAAGACGGGTTTAAATAATAATTTCAACTTATAAACAGCTTTCGCAGTGCACAATCTAATTAAAATATTATTTATTGGTGACAATATTCCGCTTAAATAATAAAAGTTTAAAATTTAGTGCGCCCCTTTTCTTTCCCTTAATACAGTGGTAACACAACGTTGAATTCATTAATTTGAGAAATTTACTTTGAACTCTATCACCTTTTTTCATTTTCCTACTCGTTGTTTTTACTTTAACACTTTAGAATTGTTGAAATCATTGTGAATGTGTGGATACCTACACAAGTCAAAGTTTCGTTCCTTTTCATTTAAAACTCTTTGTTTTGACCTTCAAAGAAACACTAAACCCATTGCAATATATATGAATGTGTTGGAAAAAAAGACCATGTGGTGCAGATCATTAATTGTATGGGTTGGGATAGTATGTCTTCAACCGCACCTACGAGCCTCCAGGTAGTCGTTAAAATGGTCTAACGGGCTCTAGAAATGTTCTACAATAATATTATATCCCATTTGCCATATATATTCGAGGTGGGTTCCTAGTTTAGCACTGTATCTTAATTTCTGCATTCTAGAAAGACGACGATTAATCAAATTTTATCTTTCGTCTAAGAATCTTACGAGTTACATTTTACTTTTTTAAATTGTGTGTTAATTAAGCGTATTTCCAACAATAACGAAATTAAACAGAACCGTTAATTTAACAATTTCAGCCACAAAATGTTTGCAAGCTTAAAAGCTGAGTAACATTTCTAACGCGAACACTATTCGTTATATTTTATTGAAAGCTCTCGCAAACTTTTCTTGTTACGAATATAGCGCTGTCCCGGACCAACAGGAACACAGTTTCTAGTTAGTTTCACGTATGATGAATTGTTGACAATCCCGCTTACCCGGAATACCGGATCGAGGTCTGCAAGATCTGCAGGACCATGAGAATCCCACATATCATCATCAGTAGCGGCGTCGGCGCCGTCGAAATCATCCGGGCTGTCATTCTAGATCGTTAAGAGAATTTTAATGACGACTCAACAAGTGTTTATCGGTATTTTCTTCCCAAACTTTAGCATTGCCAATAACGCCCGTCCAAATTTCACCAGCCGATCGCATAAATTCTGTTCAAGATCGCGTTGGATTTGGAAAACGGTCGCTCAAGACGAGTGAAAGAGCAAAACATTAAAACAAACATCGAGGAAACTTGCATATGTCATGTGCAATGCACGGTTTACAAGTGGATAATTCGTTATCTACCTAGCAGTGACATTAACATCTAGTTCAGTATAGAATATGCCATGTAACGTGAGATAAGTATAAATCATGTGGAGGAAACAAATCGGAAATGAACGCTTTAATGGAAACGCGGCTGTGTACATGGCGGAAGAATTAATAAATCAAACAGGTAAAAATGTTAAACGGTTAAATCAAAACCACAACAAAAAATCTCGTTCTGAAAAAAACATTGTTCGCATAGGCATACCCAAATGAATTTCTTAAATGGATTAATTTTATTTGGAAGTGTGTAAATACAGGGAAACGTACCTGAAAGACGGCTTGATTGAAATCGGCGCTCGCGGGTATTTGAACATTGTAAGAGATCTGCTCGAATTCGGGGGCGTTGTCGTTGATGTCTTTGATTTTCACGATGACGTACGTCGTTGATGAGAGTGGAGGGGTGCCGTTGTCGGTTATCAAAACCTGTAACAATCCAATCAAAAAATTAATCAAATCCTGCGCTACATTCACGAACCTTTTTCAATCACTATTGTGAGATTGAAAGAAAATTTCACTCGGTAACTCAGATGTCATTTTTTTTGTTGTTCGAATGTCATACATGTCAACAACAGAGGTTAAATTTAATTGACCACATGTGATACAGAATTACAGATATGCAACTGAACTTCTAAAAGAGCAGCCAACTCTAATTACATTTTTTTGCTTTGTTAATTATTAAAAAACTACGTAACAAAAAATTGAGGATAATTTCTATATTTGTCAATTTCGGTAGCAATTTGGATACGAAATTCCATCAAAAATTACCTGTTCTATTTTTACTCCCAAAATGAAGAACGAAACCACCACAAACAACGTCGTTTTTAAAAACAGTGGGATAAACAGGAATTCAATTTGTTTTTCGACAAAATTGGCCAGAAACGAAATCGCATGAATTTTATTTGTACAAACAAGGCCGTATTTCAAAGCATGTTTTTTAAAAAACATTTTATTTTGAGATATTAATTTTCAGCAGGAGTGAACGCAAAAATTTATTATGTAAATAACGTTTTATTTGAGTTGCATGTTTCAAGTGAAATTTTTGTGATGACAAGGTCAATTTTAATTAAATCAGAATTAGATATGCTCTTTCGGGTTTGATGAATAAATCAAATGGCTCCATTCAGCAATATTTTTAGTTCATAAAATAAAACTATATTATGTAAACACAAACAGAATTGCTAAAATTCCGACTTTATAGGATAATAGAGATTTTTAAAATCATTATTTGACTTGACGTTCTTGACTTTCTGGAGGGACGACAAAATAAATTTTATTTGATGGCTAATACTTGCTTTTTACAAGACTTCGTGATGTAAGTTATCATAAGACATGTAAAATTTCAATTTATAATTTGGTTAAAGATATAGTGCGGTTGTGGCTTAATTGTTACCCAACTTTGGTTTACGAGTTCGTCACATGGGGGACAGGAATCCGCTTGCCTGGCAAAGACCTTCTGTTGTAAAAATAACAAATAAAAATTATTTTAATACGACAGCTGGTCTACCTAACTCTCTGTTCAACGTGTCAATGATTGTATTTGCGCAGGTTTAAAATTATAGGTATACTTACAAAAAACAATTAAACGAGCTGTTCATGCTAAAAATTTTAAGCAACATTTACGTAGCAAAATTTTGAGATAACGTCAATTCAGTGGGGGTTGTGGGTAGAAAAAATTGGGGTTAATGTGTTATCATCTACATAATAATAATTAATTAGTTCAGTAGTATCGGCGATTATCAGATTCAATCTAAACAGACATACAGACCATAGACAGACAGACAGACAGACAGAGGGGCAGACAAACAGACAGACAGATAGACAGACAGACAGACAGACAGACAGACAGACTGACTGACTGACTGACAGACAGACAGTCAGACAGACAAACAGACAGACAAACAGACAGACAAACAGACAGAAAAACAGACAGACAGACAAACAGACAGCCAGATAGCCAGACAAACAGATAGAGATTCGTATTTTACAAGCTGCCGAGAAAATATGAAATTAGATATTTCTCAAATCGATACTATACAATACTCCCAATACTTTACGCTTGGGAAGTAAAAGTTGTATCATTTATAACAATAAAACATATTTAATGTCTAACGGACAATATTGCCCTTAAAGGAATACAAAAATTATGATGTAAATGTACCCATAGGCCAAAAGAAACAAGAACTTCCCTGGTCCCTAAAGTACTTCCAGTCCAACAAATACAGTTTCTTCGAAATATTATATTTTTTTAAAACAACCCATAATTATATTATAAGTTAAAATGTGTATATTAATTTGAATAAGTTCAATGTAATAATAAAGGTCGATTTATAAACTTGTCGCTGACGTTGCTGTTCACCGTTGACGTTGCCGTTGAGAGTTGGTACACTGTTGGGGTGATGTTCGAGATGACCAACTTTTAAAAATCATCAGAATTGAGATAGGGCGGGTGGGTGGGGCTTATATTTTGCCTTTTTTTTCTGAATATAGCTATCTTTTCACAACAAGAAACTTAAAACATGGTTAAAATGATACATTTTTGCAAGGAAATATGGATTTTGCAATTATGCGGCCTAATTGCAAAATCGATAATTCCTTATATAAATTTTCCAGTTTAAACATGTTTTTATTTCATGTTATGAAAAGAAGTCTACACATATTAAAATAAAAAGGCAAAATGTAACCCCGCCCACCCGCCCTATCTCAATTGTGATGATTTTTTTTTTATTCGCCTTGAACCAAGAGGGTGGAGCTTAACTGCTAAATACTTATTTTTTTACAAGAAATTAAAACATGTTTTTGAGTATCGTGTTGTTCAAAGAATACTATGTATATTAAAAAAAGTAAGGCAAAATATAAACCCCGCCCACCCACCCCCTCTCAATTGTGATTTTTTTTGTTAGAAACTTAAGACGCCTTTAAAATGGTAAATTTTTGTAAGCACATGTGAATTTTGCAATTAAGCCCCGTCCCTTGAACTGACAACGAATGAAAAATTCATCACAATTGAGAATTGAGATCGTGACGGGTATGGGTGGGGCTAAATCATTGGTTTTATTTTTTTTTAATATACATGTATTCTTTGAACAATATGCTCAAAAACATGTTGTTAATTTCTCGTAGAGAAATAAGGATTTTGCAGTTAAGCTCCGCCCCTTTGGCTCATGATGAATAAAAAAAATCATCACAATTGAGGTAGGGCGGGTGGGCGGGGCTACATTGTGCCTTTTTTTCTTAATATACGTAGACTGATTTCGACAACAAGAAACGGTCAATTTTTGTAGTAATCAACTTAAATCCGCCACTTTTTTCCTACAATCCCATTAAATACGGCAAAAGTTGAACATCAAAGTTACTATGAACGGCAACTTGGCAACGCAGTTTATAAATGACAATTTTCAGCTCTAAAAGCAAGGTCAGCGGGAACAGCAACGGCGACTTCAACGTCAACAGCAAGTTTATAAATTCCACTTAATAATAAGAGTACTATATGATGAAATTTTCTGGAAAATGGAGTAAATAAAGAAAGTTGGAAATGCTGGGAATCGAACCCAGGGCCATTCATATCCAAAGCAAACGTTCTTCCACAGCACCGCAGTCCTTTCCAATTTGCTTCCTTATAGGTATCTAAAGAACCGCGCCACTATTAAAAGGATTAAACAGTAAAAAATAGTAATAAACAAAATCAAGGTGGATTCATAAACTACAAGTACAGGACTACGTTATTTTATAAAATTTAAAACGCTTCATTTCGCAAAACTTCGAGGTGACGTCACCAAATTGGTTGTGGGGATGATCAGACAGGTTTTGGTTGGCGTTTTACCATCTAGGCGACATTCCTAATGTATATATAAAATTGCACAAGGGTCACGGAAAGGAGAGACCTATTTTTTCATGCGGTAGTGGTTACGAAACATCGAAAAAACCTGGAAGTGGTCTTTGCTGGATGGGATTTAATACAATACTTCCTTACCTTATGCTCGGTAAATAAAAAATAATGGATCTTCTAGTTTCATAACAGAAATTTAATTGTCATGGAAATGACAAATTTAACTTAAAACTGCATCTGAATTCTTATAAACATTTTAGTTGTAGTACTTAAGCATGAAAAACGTTATTGAAAATGTATCTTTTTATACCTTTGAAACGCCCCCTCCCAAAACACTGATGACGCCATCTCCAAATTTTGCTGATGGATGTCTTCGCCAAAATGAAATGTGACAAATTTTGAGATATGTTAAAAATTTGAATTTGAAGTCGAAAATTTCCAAAACCTGCCAGCGTACGGAGTTTGAATTATTTTTCCTGGTAGATATATCAATTTCTGGCCATCCAGTTCTTATGAAATTTAGCAAAATAAGTCTTCAGGTTACGATTCTTTCCGAATTTTCGATGTTCGCTACAATCTAGGTCTGGAATCTAAGAAGATCTACCTAGTAGAATTTTCCGATCTTTGATCGTTTTTCACCACTTTCAAAAAATACTTAAAGAGATTTTCTTGTAGATTTCGACCTCTAAAAGCAATTTTTTGGGCTATACTTCTTTAAAAAGTTACAGCATTTTTTCAGAATCGACAATATGAAATGCGACGAATGTTTGGATTTTTTATAAATTTGACTTTTAAATCGACTATTTCGAAAATCTGGCTCTGGGACCATCAACATGCTATGTTGTTAGAACCAGTTCGTACAGATCTATACCTCAGATATAACCATACATATGTAACAGGAATAATGATTAAAAACGCGATATTTCAAAAACGCTGACGAGTAAGAGAAAAGCACTCCCGATCAACTGAATATGATACATATATATTATTGTAAAAATTAAAATTACAATACCGCGGGGAAGTTATTCTGTCGAGGAGAACTCTCAGCTCTATGTTTCTATCGAGTCAAGAGAATTCAAGCAAAGGGACATAGATTACATGTGTCGTCTGGTTTAAATTATACCTTACATTTAGACGTGAATGTGTCATTGACTTCAAAAGCAGACTCCACATCATTTGGACTTCTTAAAAAAAGGCTCAGAAAGTCACATACATTAAAGTCTAGGGTGGTCGAGCACCGTGCAAAAAAAAGAAGAAAACATTTACTACCCCGACATGCACAGTTTTTTTTATTTTGATTATATGGGTACACGTAAATTAAAAAAGTAATAAACCATGTATTATTAACTTACAACGTGTCAATTTTCAAATTTTAACAAACTAACCTGGAACTGACGTGTTTTGAGTGATTTAATTTATGCAACAGCCGCCACAGCTTTGTCGTACTAGTTTAGAGTTCGCATGGTGCGTGGAACGTGCAGATCATAATAATCACTTCTCTACTCGTCCATTTGGTTATCTAAATATTATGAAAAATATAAACAGATTTTCCTATTAACAATTTACAACTATGTACAATTTTAGTTTTTATAACTTT